AGTTCTTCCTGTTGTGTACAAGGGGATTTCTACACTTACACATTGAGTAACTGCAGCAGGAGGGCCAGGAGACCTCCTTGGATGGATAAGGAGCTCCTGAGGAAAATTCAAACGAAAAAAGAGCTTTATAGAAAGTGGAAGCAAGGACAGGCAGCCTAGGAAGAGTACAGGGTTATTGTCCGGGAAGCTAGAGACCAGGTTAGGAAAGCTAAGGCCCAGTTAGAATTAAACTTGGATAGGGATATTAAGGATAACAGGAAGGGATTCTACAGGTACATAGGAAATAAAAAACAGATTAGGGAGAATGTAGACCCCCTCAGGAAGCTCTCAGGTGAACTAGGTACACAGGATTTGGAGAAGGCAGAGTTTCTGAATGACTTCTTTGCCTTGGTCTTCTCTAGCAAAGGCTCTGACCGCACCACCCATGTCTTGGAAGGCAGACGCAGGGACTGTGAGAATGAAGACCTTGGGCCCACTGTAGGAGAGGAATTGGTTCGAGACCATCTTAAAAATCTGAACGTGCACAAGTCCATGGGTCCTGATGAAATCCATCTGCAGGTCCTGAAGGAGCTGGCAAATGAAGTTGCTAAGCTGCTGGCCATCATATTTGAAAAATCATGGCAGTCAGGTGAAGTTCCCGACAACTGGAAAAAGGGAAATATAACCCCCATTTTCAAGAAGGGGAAAATGGATGACCCAGGCAATTACAGACGAGTCAGTCTCACCTCTGTGCCTGGCAAAATCTTGGAGAAGATTCTCCTGGAAGGCATGCAAAGGCATATGAAAAACAACAAGGTGCTTGGTGACAGCCAGCATGGCTTCACCAAGGGGAAATCCTGCCTGACCAATTTGGTGGCCTTCTATGATGGGGCTACAGAACTGATGGACAGCGGTAAAGCAGTTAATGTCATCTACCTGGACTTGTGTAAAGTGTTTGACACTGTCCCACACGACATCCTTGTCTCTAAATTGGAGAGACATCAATTTGATGGATGGACCACTTGGTGGATAAAGAACTGGCTGGATGGCGGCATGCAGAGCTGTGGTCAATGGTTCAATGTCCAGATGGAGACCAGTAATGAGTGGTTTCCCTCAGGGACCGGTATTGGGACCAGTCTCATTTAACATCTTCGTCGCTGACATGGACAGTGGGATTGAGTGCACCCTCAGCAAGTTTGTCGATGACACCAAGCTGTGTGGTTCGGTTGATACGCTGGAGGGAAGCAATGCCATCCAGAGGGACCTTGACACGCTTGTGAGGTGGGCTGATGCCAATCTCATGAAGTTTAACCATGCCAAGTGCAAGGTCCTACACCTGGGTTGGAGCAATCCCAGGCACAGCTACGGGCTGGGCAGAGAAGAGATTCAGAGCTGCCCTGCGGAGAAGGAGCTTGGGGGTGCTGGTCGATGAGAAAATGAACATGAGCCAGCTTCAGTGTGCGCTCACAGCCCAGAAAGCCAACTGTATCCTGGGCTGCATCAAAAGGAGTGTGACCAGCAGGTCGAAGGAGGTAATCCTGCTGCTTTACTCTGCTCTCGTGAGACCTCACTTGGAGTATTGTGTACAGTTCTGGTGTCCTCAACATAAAAAGGACATGGATCTGTTGGAACAAGTCCAGAGGAGGGCCACGAGAATGATCAGGGGACTGGAGCACCTCCCATATGAAGATCGCCTGAGAAAGTTGGGGTTGTTCAGCCTTGAGAAGAGAAGGCTGTGTGGAGACCTCATAGCAGCCTTCCAGTATCTGAAGGGGGCATATAGGGATGTTGGGGAGGGACTCTTCATTAGGGACTGAAGTGATAGGACAAGGGGTAATGGGTTAACGCTTAAACAGGGGAAGTTTAAGTTGGATATAAGGAGGAAATTCTTTCCTGTTAGGGTAGTGAGGCACTGGAATAGGTTGTCCAGGGAGGTTGTGAGTGCTTCATCCCTGGCAGTGTTCAAGGCTAGGTTGGACGAGGCCTTGGGTAATATGGTTTTGGGCAAGGTGTCCCTGCCCATGGCAGGGGGGTTGGAACTTGATGATCTTAAGGTCCTTTCCAACCCTAACTATTCTATGATTCTATAATACTTAAGAGTACAGTATGATTGTTTTGCATTGTCCATATGTGGTTGTATCGCATACAGAATGATAAATGCTAGGATGCTACCAGAGGAGAAAATGTTTGTTGTCCAAATTCAAAGTACATTTATTTTCATTGAGGATATTTTTTTGAGAGTATCTTGGAGTTGGGTGGATGGATTCAAATTTTAAGGTTGTTTTGGGGTGGATAGTCCTAAGACTTCCAAAATCATAGTGGGGAGGGATGAAAGCAGGAATTGCTTGCTTGCTGTTTTTAAACAATTTTTGTTTGAGTTTGTTTGGGTTTGAGGTTGGTGGAGGTTTTTTTTGTGTTACACATTTGTGTTACACAAAGAGTGTGGCTTTGCAGACAAGTCTTTCCATTTTTCTACCCTACTTATGAGTGAGGAATTACTTTAAACTGCGCCTGAGGTTGTTGTATAGTTGCTACTGTAGCAGCTGGAGAATTAAAGTACATATTGAAGTATATTGCAGTAGCTAACAGCAGTGAGTTTTTACTTTCTAGAGTTACTCTTGCTTTTTCTTCTTCCTTCCATTTTGCATGTATGTGTTGTCATTTAAGTCAGTTGTAGTAGATTTTGAACAATGACAGGTGACTATTATGAGATGATAACCATGTTTGTGGAAATTGAAATAAAAAACTAAACCCAGTTTGCAATGTTTTATCTGATTTTTGTGGAGAGTACAAAGGTGAAGAAAAGAATTTGGTACCATGTGAAAATTGGCCTCTCCTGCAAAGATTGTTTTCCTATTACGAGTGTAGATAGCTAATATGAAAATAGCACTGTAATTTTCTGAGTCATGATTTGGCTTTAAACTGGGAGAGGACTGAAGCTTTCCTGTAGTGACATCGAACTGGCATTAAAGAACTGGGGGGGGGAGGGGAGGAATAAAAGGCGAATTCAAGTGTTGAGAAGTTATGAAAGGAGGCCTTAGGGCCTAAAGTATCTAACTTTCAGATAAACTTTTGAGATGATATGCTCAGGTGCTAGCAGTGTGAAAGAGACCATGCAGTCCTATTGCTCTTACTGTAGGAGGTTATGTGCCTGATTCTAAGATGACTTGCTGCTTGAACAGCATTTTCTTTTGGATAAAGGATTGTTAAATCTGAATGGGAGCAAAATAGATGTGGTATGTGAAGGAAAACATTTCTGAACAAGTTTTAGTTGTTTTGCAGTCTGTTTTTTGATTAGTAGTATATATTTGTATTTTGTCAGTTCAGTGTGTGCAGGTTCTTCTGGAATGTAGACTGTGAATGCCACAGAATGCTGTGGTTATCACCCCTAGCCACTTAAGATGCTTTGACAGCCTGAAATCCTGATACTGCCTGATCTCTAGAGGATGCTGAGTTAAGTTTGAAGCTCTGATGTTTATCTTCAGAGCACTGCTGGACCCAGGCTATCCAGAAGATCTGAGGATGGATTCTGACAGATCCCCTTCCTCTGCTTAGTGAATGTTTGCATGAAGGATATTGCTTGATGTGCAGGTGATGGTGTCTTTGGGGCGAGGAATTAGGCAGCATCAAATGGTGGTGGATTTGGTTTCTTCTGCCCAGTGTCTAAAATACACATCATTTAAATGAACAATGTTCAGTTTTATGATTAAGCTTCAGCATTGAAAATTCATTTGCTTTAATGTGGAAGAGATTGGGAACTGTCGTTTTAGTCTTCGTTGTGACTAGTGGACTTCTGTGCTAGAACAGCGTTTGTGTGATACTCATATTCAGTGCAACTTTCTAACCCCAGTTTAATTTTACTTATTTCTGCTAATGTACAGTTAGATGCACCAGTGCCATTTTTCCCTTTTGTTGTACTTCTTTAAAACACTGGTATTAACTTTGATCACCACCTAGGCAAGCACACTGCCAATATCACACAACCAGTGTGTGTTAAATCCTGCCTGGTTTTGTGGGGTCTGAGGTCTTCCTTTGGTTTATGCTACGTAATGGGATTAAATGATTTAAGAAAATGCTGCTGTTCTGCCTGATAAACCACTGTCTCACCATTCCATTAGTTACTGGCTTTGAATAATGAAGCATGAAATTGTTTTCTGCAGTATTCTCACTTGCTTTGTCAGGTTTTACTCTGTAACACCACAACAGAGTTCATTGTAGATTACTGCTTGTCAGACATTAGAATCAAATTTTATCAGGCATATTGAATAATGTTCTACTTAACATGCATATACAGCTTATGCCATTTTAAGTTCTTTGTTGGTGTGCATGAGACCATCAGCTTCTATACTGAAGTGTTCCATACTTTTAGATTGAATTTAGATATCTAAAATGGGTAATGAGCCCTTAAATTTCCCTTCATTGTCTGTGTACCACTTATGGAGATTACATGATAATATTATATGAACCCTTTTTCAAAATGATGATTTTTTTCAGTTAATCTGCTTTTTATGGTATTCGTATGTAGGTAGTAATAAGATTCTTTTGAAGCATATTTAAGAGTCTCAGAGTGATTTTCCTTTTTTTTTTTTTTTTAATAGCATAGATCACTTCTGCTGTGTAAGTGTATTAATTTGTAACAAGGTAGGGCTGAATTTACCCCATTAACAGTCACCTAGTGTTACACGCAGAATTGCTAATTTCATCATTGGAGAGTTATAGAAGTATTTGTTTATTTGCCTTGAAGACTTAGGCACTGGAGGCTGTTTCATTCTGAATAGTTCATTCTAGTTTCCTGTGAAGTCCTCTGTGCAGTATTGTTTGGAAATATTCTAGGCAATTACTTCTCTAGAAAAGAAAGGTGATACTTGGCAATCTTACATATCTGGACTCTGTCTTAAAAATACGTCTGAGTGCTTTTCTTTTGCTATGGTAGGAAATGTTTTAGTCCTTTGTATGTATTGGTTATAACAGTTAAAGATGTTGACTTCTGTAATTTAATTAGTATTTTAATCTGTTTGCAGATGTGATGCAGATCCGTCTGCCCTAGCTAAATATGTTCTGGCTTTGGTAAAGAAGGATAAAAGTGAAAAGGAACTGAAGGCATTGTGTGTTGATCAGCTGGATGTATTTCTTCAGAAAGGTATGGTCTTTTATCATAGCAATAAAGCTTGAGTGAAAAGCCTGTCTTAATTCATTCAGTCTTTTCCGATAGAATAATGCATTTTTGTCTTTATTAGCTTTGTTACTTTGAAGTATGTAATCCAATTTTCATGAAGGTTTTTGTTTGTTTTTCTTTTTTAACAGGTGTATAGCACAATATATGTATGTTAGGTCTGTGTTTTGTGTCTGTTTGTATTCCTGGAAGAAAATCATGAATGTTAAGAGTTACTGCCAGAATTAGAAGTACTGGAGCTCTGTATATATATTCTAGAAATAAGCTTCCAGATGTTGAAAAACTTTGAGACATTATTGTTATTGACATGTTTCTTGAATGTGTATATCCTTTTAAAATACAAAATTATCAGCAGAGTATTAAAGAAAAACCCAAACCAAACTCTTGATTGTTTTAACTTTTTGGTGAATGCTGATTTTCTTAAGTATATAATTGTTTTAATTTTTTAATCAAATGTTAACTGTATTTTGCATAATGGATATTTGTACATGTTCCTTACTTTTAGAAACTCAGATATTTGTGGAAAAACTGTTTGATGCTGTGAATACAAAAAGCTATCTACCTCCACCAGAACAGCCGTCGTCAGGAAGTCTGAAAGTAGAATTTTTTCAGCACCAGGAAAAAGAGACAAAAAAGGAAGAGGTAAGCATGGATTTTAAATTAAATGTATGTCTTTTTTTTCCTCATTCATGTACATTGCTTACATGGCTAAACTTCATCATGTTTCTTTATTAATAATAGTCCCAAAGCTTATTAATTAATCCAGGCTGCCATTCCAAATGGCAGTCCTCATTCCTCCAGCTGCTTTATCTGGATGAACTCTGTATTCTGACACAAATGTTTATGCTGCTGTTTGAGCCAGAAGAGTAGGTTTGTCCTTTTCAGCAGCAGCCTACGTTTGACTCCACCAAGGTCTTGTGAGACCCCGTTACTTGGAGTATTGTGTACAGTACTGGTGTCCTCAACAGAAGAAGGACATGGAGCTGTTGGAGCAAGTCCAGAGGAGGGCCACACGGATAAGGGAGCTCGAGCACCTGCTGAAGGCAGGCTGAGAAAGTTGGGGCTGTTCAGCCTGGAAAAGAGAAGGCTGCATGGAGACCTCATAGCAGCCTTCCAGTATCTGAAGGGGGGCTATAGGGATGCTGAAGAGGGACTCTTCATCAGGGACTGTAGTGACAGGACAAGGGGTAACGGGTTCAAACTTAAACAGGGTAAGTTTAGTTTAGATACAAGGAAGAAGTTCTTTCCTGCGGGGGTGGTGAGGCACTGGAACAAGTTGCCCGAGGAATTTGTGAATGCTCTATCCCTGGCACTGTTGAAGGCCACGCTGGACAGAGTCTTGGGTGAGATGGTTTAGTGTGAGATGTCCCTGCCCATGGCACGGGGGTGGAACTTGATGATCTTCAGGTCCTTTCCAACCCAGCTATTCTGTGGTTCTGTGATCTGAACCTGATAACCTGCTGATGAAGAAAAGACCTTACTGTGTCAGTTGTTGAATATTCATGTCTTTCCAGATCTGTCACTGCACCTTAGTATGGATTTCTGTCTGCAGCAAAAGCAGATGTTGTTTTCAGCACAGCACAATAGGGGAGCTCATTTGGCTTCATTTCTGCCCAACCTGTTTTTTGAATATTCCTAGAAATAGAAAACCAGTATATGAAGGTTATCTAATTGCATTACGTGCAAAAATGTTGTTTCAGTTCAGTGTTACAGCTGACTTTGCTTGGTATTTTGAATTTGTTTTATGTGGTTGTGCAGAAGTCTCCATTGTAGTGTCCTTATGTTTTCATCTAATGTATATACTTTAAATTCAGATCGTTAAAGAGGAAGAGCGAGAGAAAAAGTTCTCTAGAAGATTAAATCACAGCCCTCCTCAGTCAAGTTCTCGCTACAGAGATACCAGGTAATAAACATTTTTAGCCTATTGTATTACATCAGTAATAAGATGGATTTTTATGATGAACTTTATGAATGGTTATGTAAGGCTAAAAATAAGACTTTTATTGCTTTTGTGCATATGTAGTTATATGGCTAGTATATAAGTGATAGTGTAAACCATCTCAAGAGTTGTGCACAACTATCACATTTAAATTTTAAGATTAATTTTTATGTTAGATTTATGGTTTGTATTGCAACACTGTGCTTGGTTATTGAGATTGAATTGTGATATTTTTTTATTTTGAAGCCTTCCCTTCAGTAGCTGTTTAACTTTTAAGTGTTTCCAACTTGAGGAATGTACAATATTGGCAGAAACAGAATTTACCTGTATTTTAAAATCTTACAGATGGTAAAAGTAAAATGCATAAATGCAATGGAATAATTTAAAAAGTCTTCTGAGAAGAAAGGAAGGATCATAGATTCCATTTGTAGGGTTTTTTTCCTAATTTTCCATTGTCATTTCCTGAGGTTTATAATTGTGGCCAAGGTTTTAAATTACGGCTTCATAATTCTTGTGATTAATTTACAAATTTACATGTTTAGGAGCCGTGATGAAAGGAAAAAAGATGAACGTTCTCGGAAGAGAGATTACGACCGAAATCCTCCCAGAAGAGATTCCTATAGGGATCGATATAACAGAAGAAGAGGGAGGAGTCGGAGCTACAGCAGGAGTCGAAGTAGAAGTTGGAGCAAAGAGAGATTGCGGGACCGAGATCGAGACCGGAGCAGAAGCCGGAGCAGAACACGAAGCAGAGGTACCAACAGTTGGTCTCTAAGACACGGTGAATGTTGCCTACACTACATTTCTGATGTACCAAAATTTCTTCTGTTGTTTTTGTTCAAATTCAGCTTGATTTTCTGTGGAAATAAGGCTTATGTGATAATATTTTCAGTGCTTGTTTTTCCCACTTTCCCTCTGTTCTTCTTCAGTACCTTTGAAAGTGTTGGCCACTCTTAAGCAATATTTGGAAGAGAGGCAGAAAAATCCAGTTTCAGGAAACTCGGATTATGGTTTGGGAAGATACAGAAATAATAATCAGCTACTGAAAGAGAGCTGACAGAAATTACCAGCTAAGGACTGTCAAGCAGAACAGTACAACTCTGTTCTTTTGGCAACATAGAGAGGGGCTGAAATTATTACAGTAAATACTTGCATTTGCATGCATCTGTAGGACTTTAGTACTGTAGTTTTTCAGATTAAACTTCTTTAAAAACAAAGCTGTTTATTCAGCTGAAAAGTATGCTTTTTCTCCTACTAGTTGTTACTGGAGGTTGGAAAAGAATATTGTCCTGTCTTAAGACAATGTGGAGATAAAAATAGTCTGGTTTGAATCTCCTGTGTATTATTTGTCTTTCTGTGGAATGGGCCTTGATAACTCAGCCTTAAAAGTAGGTATGTGGAGTTCCTGAAAATATGTAGCAGGTATTTTCCAAACAACTTGCAAACAAGGAAGTTAAACAGCATGCAGCAGTTTAACTGGAAGATTACAATGTGATTGAATGTTAATATAAGCTTTGTTTTACGTGAACAACAATGGTAATATCTTACAGTGAAAGCTTTGTTTCTTTTTCTAAGCACATTAAGAAAAGCTTTTTTTACCCACACTTACCTGCCATCTTTAAGCATTTTTATTAATGTTCCTCTATATGGGGTTATTTGAGTCTACCAGTTTATCTCATGACAGAACTCTTTTGTCTTAATCTGGATACTTACTGTTTATTTGATGGTAATATTAGAAAATGAAGAGGATAGTTTGTATGTATTCAGAATAAAAGGCCGTGTTACTGCTGCATCTGCCCATGAGTGTTCGACACCTGTCTGGCACTATTATTTCTACAGTCGTTGCAAAGCTTTGTATATGATAAATATATACATTTGAATGCAGATAGAATGAAGATAAAAACATGAAGATACAGTAACAGTAATGTGTAACTTTTATATTTTTTTCAAGTGATGGCTAGCTTGCCCATAGCTTCCCTTTATTCAGAGTACCTTTCCGTCTGAAGTTCTTAAAATATATGCATCACTATAGATGATATACTCTGCTTGAAGTTAAATAGTGTTTCTGCTTTACTGTGGATATAGCTGCTGTTGAAATACCCCAGTGGCTGACTGTGTACTTCTAACATTATTATTTTTCTGGTTAAAACTTTGTAATGTAGAATCATGGAGTTGCTGAGGTTGGAAAGTACATCTGAAAGTCATATAGTCCAACACACTTTCTCAAAGCAGATAAACTGGAGCAGGTTGCTCAGGATCCTGTGTGGTTGGATTGTGAGAAACTTGAAGGTGAAGATTCTACAGGCATTCTGGGTAACCTGTAGAACATTTCACTTATTTGTATATTTTGAGGTGAACTGATGTAGAATAAAGATACACAGCTTAGTGACTTAGTGGCAAAAATGTGGGGAAGGAATCATCCAATTTAAGTTGTTTGTTTTATTACAGAAAGGGATTTGGGAAAGCCAAAATATGATATGGATAGAACAGATCCATTAGAGAACAATTATACTCCGGTTTCTTCTGTGACAAATATTTCATCTGGCCACTACCCTGTCCCTACACTGAGCAGCACAATTACTGTTATTGCTCCTGCTCATCATGGAAATAACACTACTGAAAGCTGGTCAGAGTTCCATGAAGAGCAGCTGGACCACAACTCCTATGGAAGACCTCCGCTGCCAAAGAAACGCTGTCGAGATTATGATGGTAAGTCTGTATTTTTTAGTTGCTTCCTGCAGCTGCGATTGGCCTCTTTCTGAAAAGATTGAGGTAATACTACTTTCTTTTTCCGATCTTCTCTAATACTGTGATTTTTCTATTGCACAACTGTTGAATACAGATTTTATCCCATTTTTTATTAACTTAGCTTTTAGACAGCTTTATTAGTGTTTATATAGTCTTTTTAGTTACTAGAATGAAAAATAGTATATTTAAAGTTATTAAAAAATATCGAATTTTACCAAGGTTTTCTGTCTTATGTCATGTTCACACCAAATATTGTATTTGGTAGTTTTGACTATGATAGGCACTTTATTGACCTACCTTTTCCGTCTTATCTTAAGAGATAATTTTTAACTAGAAGGGTCTGGAGCCACAGCTTGCTAGGCTCATACTAGCTTATTTTTTCTTTGTAGGAGTTTCTTAAAATTGTGTGAGGTTTTGTGCTTATCTGTGTCTTAAGCTATCATTTTGCACGTCTTGTGCCAAATCCACACAAGAGGCTACTGCTGTTGACAGTGTCTTAGCTAAATGCAGCCAGGCAACCTGTTAGCTTAGAAGAGTTTGTATTTCCCCCTCAAGTGTTTTTCTGAGTTTTTTTTTGTTGTTGTTGTTGCATACCACAGTGACAACTTTAAGGTCTAGTTTTTCATTCAAACCTGATTAGTTGGGATCTATTTGAGTAAAGTCAATAAGAGGTTGGGGTCTTAAGTTTGACAGATTTGTACTCGGAAGAGTAGCTTTCCCAGTTTATGTCACAGCAATACCGTTGTGAAAGTGTAGTTTCTTTTGAAGTTTTCTTCTAGTACAAGCTGAGCTGCAGAACATTGTATTGTCATGGTCTCCCAGCTCTACAGTTTTGTGTTTGTGGTGGTTTGGTGGTTCTTGGTTTTGTGGTGGGTTTTTTGTGTGTGTGTGCGTCTTTTTGTTTATTCTTGGATTTCTTTTTTTTTTTTAAGACAGGAACAAAACTTGCAGACTAATAAAGTTTTGAAATAACATTTCCAGGCATGACACTAGGACTTTGTGACTCTAACTTTGTCTTCTGTAGCAGTTTATTGTTTCCAGTTTCTAAATATCAAGCAAATGGTAATGTGTTAAGCTGGTGTAGTTGTCCTCAAATTTTTACTGTATTGTTGTTTTTGACACCCCCCCACACCGCATTTTTGACTGTTGCTGAAATCTCTCAGTAGGTGCCTCTTCCATCTGCTTTTCTTATGTCTGTTTGTGCCTTCTAAACTTCTGAGGTCATCTCTCCCCTCAGTGGCTACCTGGTTCCAACATACTGCCTGTCCTGTCCGTACTTTCATATTTTCTACTTGAGTCTCCGCAGAAATTCTGTTAGTTCTTGATGTTTTAATTTGTATGTTCGGTAACTCTTCCTGAAGTTAAGGTGATATAGACTTTTTTTCAGCATCATGTTTTAGGAAGTGGACAGTTGGCTTTCTTCCAGTTTTAACCAGAAGATGTTTTGAACTTTCACTTCATACTGAATTGTATTAGGGTTGTTTTGTTGTGTGTGGGTTTTTTTGTTTTTGTTTTTTTTTTTTTTTTTTTTTTTGGAGGGGGGGAGGGCTGTTGCTAAACAGATAATCATAGAATCATAGGTTTGGGTTGGAAGGAACATTTAAATATCATTTAGTCCAACTGCCCTGCAGTGATGGACAGTGTCCCCTGCAAGGGACATCTTCAACTAGATCAGGTCTGCTCAGTGCCCTGTCCAACCTGCCCTTGAACACTTTCAGGGGTGGGTCGTCCACATCTTCTCTGGGCAACCTGTGCCAATGTCTCACCATCCTCATAATAAAATTTTCTTCCTTATATCTAATTTGAGTATATATACTTTTATTTTAAAACTATAAACCTTTGTCCTATTGCTACAGGCTCTTTACTAAAAAGTGTTTCCCCATCTTTCTTACAAGCCCCTTTTAAGTATTGAAAGGCTGCATTAAGGGCTCCCTAGAGCCTTCTCTCCAGGCTGTGGAAAACCCCCAACTCTCTCAGCCTTTCTTCATAGAAGAGGTGTTCCATCTCTCTGATCATTTTTGTGGTCCTCCTCTGGACCTACTCCACTTCAGTGTAAAAGAAAATAAACTAATTTATATTCATTTGTGTGTGTGCATGTTTCATATTTACACATGTATGTGTATATACACATATACAATACATATATATAAATAATAAATACTTGCTCCTACATAATCTCATTAAACTACAGCTAAATGTTCTAATTCTTCCTGAAATAATTGCAAAAGAGGAAAAAGAATTGGAGTGAATTTTCCTATGTCAGAATTCTATAATATTAGCTTTAACGGGGGTTTCTCCCAGTAATTGCACTTTTTACTTAGAAGGACTGTGGTCTTATTAATGTGGTGATCTCTAGATTTAATTTTTTGCTTTCACTATTTGTTACAATTTAGTGCGGAATTAATTCTTCAAGAAAAGTCTGTTTTCTGTGTTTATTCTGCTAGAATGTTGCTGCAGTGTTCCTGTGTGCTGATTGTTAAAAATCGAGTCAAATAGCCAATTTAATTTTCCAATATAAATTTCTGCTCTTGATGTACATATTGCTGCATTACACATAAAATGTCTCATATCTACTCTGACTCAAGCTACAGCTTTTGAATACTAACAACAATTCCTTTTGCTTTTGATTTTCAGAAAAGGGTTTCTGTATGAGAGGAGACATGTGCCCCTTTGATCATGGAAGCGATCCAGTAGTGGTAGAAGATGTAAATCTTCCTGGCATTCTGCCTTTTCCAGCACAACCCCCTGTTGTCGAAGGACCACCTCCTCCTGGACTTCCTCCCCCTCCACCAATTCTGAGTCCTCCTCCTGTTAACCTTAGACCTCCAGTACCACCACCAGGCCCCCTGCCACCTAGCCTTCCACCTGTAACAGGTAATTAAAAAAGATTAAACCTCCTGTTTTAGTAGAAAAGCCTGGATGTTACTTGGGTTGTATGCAGTGCAAAAAACTGTTTCAAGAATGCTAATTGGAATTTAGTAAGTTGTGCTATGCCCTGCTGTGGCATAGCTTACACCAATTTTTATTTTTTATTTTTCCACCGTAATTGTTGCAAAGTTGGTTGGTTTAAAATTTACATGTTAAATGTAAACCTTGAATGTGGAATAATATTTTAATTGTGCTTAAGCAAAAGCATGGTGTGGCAAAACTCAATTCCTTGAGTTTTATAGAAGTCCACAACTGACTACTGTTAGAGAAGTGAAAATCCTAGAAACAACAGATTTGGCATTTCATTTGAAATAATAAAAGAGAATTCATTGCTGTGTCAGATTTACACCTGGAAATGTTATTTGTAGTTAATTTTGAAACTTTTATAACTAAAAAAAGTTCTTCAGCTTGTTTACTCTTTTATTGGAAAGTACTTTGGCTCAAGCACTAAAAATTAAATGAAGACTTATGTGCCTGGCTCTCCTTTATAAAACATCAGTTTAGTATTCAGTTCCCTTGTGTGGTTTAAAAACACTGACTTTAGTTTTATGCGATTATTTCTTTTGTATTTTTAACAAGTTAGATGTTTCACTTGGTAAAATTGTTTTGAGAGTAATCGATATTTGATACTGCTTGGATGTTTCTTAAACTGTTTTCATTTCCAGTTGATAAGATCTGAATGTATTTATTTCACCTTAGCACAGAGAGTGACTGTATTGCTGGGGTGATCAGTTCTTCCTCTCATGCTATTTCCAGATCTATGTGGAAAGTCCAAATATGTGACGTTTTTTTGGTATCTTTTTCCAGACACTGGTTTTGCCAGTGGTTAAATTGAAGGTCAGGCATGACTGCTCAGCTTTGACAGTGTCATATTGCCTATTGTAAAAAAACCAAAATCAAATCAAACCAAACAAACCTCCCACTCGGTTATAAGAAGGTCCCTTTGACTTTCCACTGGAGTTGTAGGTTTCTTCTTGGGTGTTCAGAAAAATAATTTCAGTCAAGCTGGTTATTATTGTAAAATATTTTTGTTATGCACTGTTAAAAGATAGAATTTGTTTCTTCGAAGGGATTTTACAAAGCTTTAATGCTTTTCTCTTGGTGAAGGTAAATACTAGGTTAGCATTTTGCTTACAGCAAGAAAGTGTTTGGGGAAATGTTATAAAATGCTTTTCTTTGTAATGTAAGTTCTTAGTCATTGGCTGGTAGGAATGGTGTCATATGGACGATTGCTACAGCATCATGTCCATATACCTCTTGCACCTTTTTTTTTTTTTAATATCTGTGCACACATTTCAGATCAGTTTCCTCACGTGTTGAGTGTAATGTAAGCATAGTGGATAATAAATGAATGCAATGTTTTCCTTTGGTTTTGACAGGACCACCCCCTCCACTTCCCCCATTGCAGCCTGCTGGCATGGATGCCCCCCCAAATTCAGCAACTAGCTCAGTTCCTACCGTTGTTACAACGGGTATTCATCACCAGCCGCCTCCTGCTCCACCCTCTCTTTTTACAGCAGGTGTAGTACTGAGGCTTTGCCCACAAGGTTTGCTAAATAGAATAACATTGATTCATATTATAATGTACTGTTTAGAGATTATAATTGTGTAGTTTGAGACAGTAACTTTGTATTATTTAGACTGTGACAGTAACTTTGTTTTTTTCAAAGTTAGTTAGTTTAGGACAAATAAAATATGCATGTAAAGTGTGAATCTGGATGATGGACTAATATTTTCATTGTATTCGAGCAGAAAATTTCACATGGCAGGTTTTTTTAAGATAGTTGTTACATAACTCTTCCTTTGTAACTGTATCTTGTAATTAAATGAAATACTGTATCTGAAACCTTAGGGGGTTTAACTGCAATTTATTTTAATTAGACAATATCTTTGTTACCAGAAACGTATGACACAGATGGCTATAATCCAGAAGCTCCAAGTATAACAAATACTTCAAGACCTATGTATAGACATAGAGTACATGCCCAAAGACCAAATTTGATAGGACTCACATCAGGTGACATGGATCTACCACCTAGAGGTATGCTTTCAAAGCTGTATTCAGTTTAGCTGGTTTTCTTTTATTAACACATATTGAGTCAGTTTTTAGAGAATATAATAATGGAAAATGCATTTCTTTAAAACCTCCTGGAGTTAAGAGAGGTTCAGTTGAATAGGGAATTTTCATCATAGTTCCTTTGTGTGTGCATTTTTACAGTAAAATGAAACCACTTTCTAGAGTATTGCAAAGTTTACACTTGGCTGTAATAACTGGTCACTTTGTACATCTTCTATACAGAAAAATACTACTGATTCTCAGTATTTTAGGATGATTTCTGCCGCAGAGAGGAAGGAATCGTTTTGATTTGTTAGCAAGCAGTTATGCATGAGTAACTCTAACGTCATAATTCCTGTGGTCCTGAGGAGCACCAGCACACAGAACGAGAAAGGAAGAAGAATAAAAGTGTTTTTGTTTAAATGTGGTTTAATTTACATTTGTATTTATTTGATTTCATCTTATTATGTTTCTGTTAGTCTATTTTCAGCGAGGAGTCCCTCAGTATGATTCCTGTTCTTCAGTAAGAGTGACTCCTCTCCACCTCATCCTTAAATTTTCTCCTGGGCGTTAGTGCTCTTGAGTACTGTGCATTTCCTGTAATGAGGATTTTTGTGCATGCCATCAAATGATAGAATGGAGGTGTTAGCAGAAATGGTGTGAGCCTCAGAATATTTTATGGGACATTGTGAATCAGTGCAGAGTGCAGTCATCTTGAGGCAGATGCCTTCTGTCACACCTCTTGTGTTCCTATGTGTGCCGTTACTGTGACAAAATGAAAGCTGTTAGCTGTTTTGGTCTGTCACAGCATCTGTTCATAGTTAGAGAAGTCTGTGACGAAGATTTTATTCAGTTTCAGTGATGATTATCATAATTTCAAAATAAACAACTGTAGTTTTCAATGTCAATTCAATGTGAGCAGAACACCTTTTTCCAATCAAATACACAGAAAATGCCAAAAAAAAAAGTAAAATATTTTCATCTGTTTACAGAAAAACCTCCTAATAAAAGTAGTATGAGAATAGTGGTAGATGCTGAATCCAGGAAAAGAACAATTGGTGCAGGTGATGCTGGAGTTCCTACAAAGAAGACTTGGTTTGACAAGTGAGTGATCATTAACACAAGGTTGGCTTAATAGTTGGAATTGCGTGGTGCTCTTTTCTGTAATGTGAAACATACATAAGTCTATATAAATTGCAAACAAACTGAATAAGCTGGTTGTACTAAAATAAATTGTGCTGTAGAGTGATCTGCATTTGACTGCCTTCTCTCAAAGACAGTATAGAGATAGCTGAAGTTGCTTTGGATCTACTCCCAAGATTTACTCCCTGAAAATTGGACTTAACTAAGAAACAGATGAGCTGCATCATGATAGTGATGACTGGTTTTAGTTTTGAAATGTGAATTGTATCATTGCTGTTTTGGTTTGAGTTGCCAAGTATGTTACTGACAAAAATACAGGGTTAAGTGCTTAGTGCCCATGTATACCTGGGGTGACAAAAATTGGAAGAGATTTGGAGAGATTACTGGAACTGAGGAGAGCCTTGAAGTAATAGTTACTTGAACTGTTAGTGGGGAGGTTCCATTGAATGCGTGAGAAATTGTTCTGGGGGGGGGAAGCAGTGTGGAAATCAGGACTTACTGACACAAGCAGATAGTTGTGAATTGTCTCACAGATTTGTGCCTTGGGATGTGCTGAGAGTATCAGTGGAGAAAACTGCAGGTGCATGGGCTTGTGTGCTGTACTCTTCTACACTTCCCTAAAATTGCCCCCACCCCTTTTTTTTTTTAACCTCTGTCTCACGCACACGTGCTCCTGTGTAAGTGTATATAATTTAACGTGTTTTCTAGCTTGCTATGGATTTCTGGCTTGATTTTTATTTGTTGCAGGCAAAATTTTAACAGAACAAACAGTCCAGGTTTCCAGAAGAAGGTGCAGTTTGGAAATGAAAATACGAAACTTGAATTGAGAAAAGTTCCCCCAGAACTTAACAATATCAGCAAACTTAATGAGCACTTCAGTAAGTTTGGCAACTTGGTTAACTTGCAGGTAAGAGTTAACAAAGAGAAGGCAGTAGGCTTCAACTTAGTGACAAATGTAGTTGCTAAAAGAAGAATGCCAGTTGTTTTTTAACTCGTTCCCTGAAACTGTTCTCAATATTTGCCTAACTTGTTTCTTAAACATGATCTTACTGTTTTTCATGGAATTGTCATTGAAGAAGCAGAAATGAAATGTGGTTTAAAACAGATGTTTTCCTCACAGACTTACCAGTTATATTGGAAACATTGATAACTGATTGGGAGTGTGTGTTCCTTCACCCCTTTTCTCAAGTTTTGATCTGATATCATAAACACTTTGGGTTTTTGTTTTGGTTTGTTTTTTTGTTTGTGGGGTTTTGGTTTGTTTTTTTGTTGGTTTTTTTTGAGAGAGAAATTGTAAACATAGAAAACCTCTTTTTTTTTTTTTTTAATCCAGCAAGTTCTTGTGATTTAATTACTCTTTAGTCCCATAGTAGAGGCAGTTTGTTCCCTATAGTTACTTCATGTTACATCTATGACCCACATTTATAAATAGAAATAAGCAAACAGAGAAAGATAGGGAAGAGATGCAAAGAACTAAGACTTTAGGTTGGTACTACATATTACTCATTTTATATGTAATGTCACTTTTTCAGACCAAGTCTCTAAGGGGCTCAGACTGATCTTTCATCATGCTTCATTCTCAAAGTTGCAGATGCTAACTTATGTTTTTATGTTGGCTTTCTTGTTTGCACTGAGAGGCTGAAAGAAGAGGTGTAATGCAATGTGTCTGTGTGTACTGATACAGTACAGAATAAACCTGTGCGTGTCTGAACACTGAAGGAATTAAAATCTCTTCTTTGCTCTGTTAATTCTCAAAGGAGGAAAACCAAAATGAGCTACTTTGTCTAGTTCTGATACTAGACCCATGTGTTTTTCATAGCAGTTTACTTCAGTGATCCTTCCTCTTTCAAACAGTTACTCATACTCCCAGTTAGAAATCCTGTTTGGCTGTGTAAGTATTTTACTTAAGTTTGTTGTTAAAACTATTCTGAAAGTTTAGAAGATTAATCTCAAGATTACTTCTTGACACCAGGCTTTTCAAACAGAATCATGAATGGGAAGTATTCATCTAGTGACCCATACTGGGTTTAACTTGCAAACTTCTGAGCCTTGAAACTAGTGATTTTTATGATAATCGAGGCACAAATGAAAATCCTACATGCAGTAAGTTTTGTTCTTCTGTTCTAAATCTCAGGTTGCATATCAAGGTGATCCAGAAGGTGCCCTCATTCAATTTGCCACACACGAGGAAGCAAAGAAAGCTATATCAAGTACAGAAGCAGTATTAAATAATCGCTTTATTAAAGTTTATTGGCATCGAGAAGGCAGTGCACCACAAATCCAGACTACTACACAGAAGGTAGAGGATCTAATTCTATCTACAATGTTATGTAAAATGCAGTCTTTTAAACATTAAAAAAAAAAATATTAAGGAAATTAGGTACTTCAGAAATAATGAATATTTCACATACTTCTTTTCCAGAGCTTACCCTTTAATTGTAGATTCTTTCAACTCGGGCACAAGGTTCAGGAGTTGATAAGACTGAAGGTATTTAAAGAAAATCCTTCTGTCACTTACAGAGAATTCCACTGTCATTTTACTTGAAGCAAGATTCAATCCTGTTGTCTGCTGAATAACACGTATTTTCCTTTAACTAGTATAGTCTTTTTCTCTTCTTATGAGTGTAAGACAGAGTTATGTATCTGGTCTTGGAAGATAATCTCTGTTTTCTTCCAAAAGGTGCTGTTTTTTCCAGTCTTTCCCCTTTCCTGTTGAGCATGTATACGGCTGTAGAAAGAAGCAGTACAATTTGTTTTACACAAAGATGTGTATATGTGTGTGCGGATATGCATACATGTGTATGCAAAGAGGACATACAAACAGCAGTGTAAGACGAGAGTTGTGTTAGTTTTGTGGGAATGAATCGGGGACATTTTACCTTTTTAAGTGAGGAGGGAGGTGTTAATATCCCTGTCATCCAGTGGCGGGATGCATGGGAATGGTTCAGAGCTGTGCCAGGGAAGGTTCAGAGGTGACATTAGGAAACATTTCTGTACAAGTGGGTAGTCGAACACTGCAGTAGTCCTTGTAGAGGGGTGGCTGATGCTCCATGCCTCTCTGTGTTTAAAGAGGGAATTTGGATAATATGCTTGGTAACATGCTTAGATTTCTGGTCAGCTGTGAAGTGGTCAAGCAGCTGGACTACATGTTTGTTATAGGTCCCTTCCAACTGAACTGGAATGAATTGCACAGTGGAGCACCTGTTGGTGGTTGTGATGTGCACAGCAGCATTGGCAACTTTTTAAGAATATGAAACAGCAATTACTGCTGTGGAACTTAGATTCAAAACCTGTGGCAAGCCAAATCAGATTTCTTAGCAGGCATAGTGGTTCTACTCAGATATAAGAGGAAGCTTGAATTCTCACAGGTCTTGTATGTTACTGGGTCTTGTCAGTTAGCTCTCGGTGTGTAGTGAATCCTTCTAGATACCTGCCTATCCTCTTTTATTGGATTTGCTGTCAGCCGTGGAGCAACACATTCTACACTGAAAAAACCTTCACTTACTCATATATGCTGATATAATGAACAAATGAGTTGTTAGAGGTTTCTTTCAGCTGGTGTTCTAAGTTCTGAGTTCCTTTCTCTAGATGGTGTATGTCATCATCATTCAGAATCGGTGACCCAGTTTTCCTTAGCAGTCCTGCTGTAGGACATTTAACAGTTTGCTTTCTCTCCTCCTTTTGTAACAAATGCCCTGCTTTTTATCTACCAAAATGCAGTTTTAACAACAGCTATCTCACTGTCTCCCCAGTTGCTATCCTTCAGATTTGAATCTGGAATCAAAGTTATAAATATCCTTGGTCCTTGATTTGAACGAGTGTTATCCAAATGGTATTTATTTTCTAAGCCTGACATTCATCTCATCAGCCAGAAGAGGGCAGTGGAGTATGTCGTTTGTATTCATACAAACATCTCTTGAGGAGGACAGCTTGAGCAGTTACTGCAATCAATTTCCTTGCTGATTATGCTGTTATAACTTGAAGTATTAACTATGTATTTTTGAACAAATACCTGGTCTGTAGATTAGTTATTTTGCAAAACATCAATTTTAAATAGGTGATAGAGGGTGCACAGTGACAAGAACAACGTAAATGGGAAACAGATTTGAAGTGCAATGCTTTCATGTTCTTCTACCCTAAAATATAGCAGTTATCAAATTGTTGAGCCAGTAAACAGGTATTTTTAATTCATAAGCCATTCAGGAACATTAATATTTACTTCCCTTTACATTGAAAGTAATATATCTACAAGTACTATGGGAACTCTTAAAGTACTTTACAATCTGCAAGTATTTGAATTTTTGTCAAGATTTGTGGTATATTAATTACAGCTGAATTAATTTTGCCTGTATTTATAATGGTTTATAGCCAGATTTTTTCCATCAGGCATTAAAGACAGACTTTTGAATTTTTTGCAGTGTAAAATCGATTGGCTTTTAAGTTGTCCCTTCAGTAGTATTTGGTCCTCCACAATTTCTTGAGCGTTGCTGTTTCCTCAGCAGGATTACTTAACAAAATTCTTACTGTGGAAATTCTAAAAGGAGTGGAAATACTAAGTAAAGGTGGTGGGAGTCAGCCATAGGAAATCATCAAATAAAAGGCTTCTGCCAAGAAGCAGAAATATGCTCTCCATCTGTGGTAGCTAAAACAAGAAGTATTTAGCTTAAAAAGCAACGCAGGAAATTTAGGTTAGATGTAAAAAACCATTTTCTAACGCTAAAGGATACTGGAATACTTTTGCCTGGAGAGGTGATATAGGACCTAATTCATTGGAATACTATAAGAACTAGATTGATGGATACTGTCAGTAATGGCTTAGGTTTTGCCCTGGAGTGGAGGGATGTGTTAGGTGACCTCCTGAGGGTCATAAATATGACAGGAAGCTTGGCTGGGAGCGTATCTGGTTTTTGGTCTTAAGTGTTTAATGTTTCTGTCAAAGAAAAAAAGGCAAGGTGTTACCTCTTGGGGTATATCCATGGTAGGTTTGAAGATTAGCTGCTCTGTTTTCCTTTCCTTAGTCTCATGAGTGCGTGTTGTTCATATCTTTCTATACTGTTGAAGTTAAATACATAGCAGATGAAAAGTAACAATTGCTGTGAAAAGCAGTGTCTTTATGATACATATTTGCATTCTGCCTTTCCATAACTAAATGGTTGATGATGAAAGATTTGTGAAAGGAATCAGAAGACTGATTATTACCTTTTATTCACTTCTAACAGGTGGAAATTAAGATGGTCTAAGGAGACGTGATTAACAGAAATAGACCAGAGTTGTTTGATTGCCTCTGTGAGCTGCGAGTGCAAAATAGATATTATTACTGTGTGCACTACAGAAATAGTTGGTGTAACATACTAAATCTCATGAAGTGTTTATTTTTGCCATCAGGTGAAAAAGATATTGAATGATAGAAAGGAAAAAGTGTAAATCTAAATATCATTATAAAAATTGCATTGTGTACTTGTTGAACTACATGTGTAGCAGCTTTTTCTTGTTAATATTATGATGTGCTCTTTTGGGGGTGGGGTGATGTTACAGGTAATACAACCCTTAGTTCAGCAGCCCAGTTTACCAGTAGTGAAACAGTCTGTCAAGGAGCGATTAGGTCCAGTACCTGCAAGTAATATTGAACCTGCAGAAGCACAGAGTGCCAGTACAGAAGTCTCTCAGGTATGTATGAAAGTAAAAAAATTAGTTACACGTTTTTCTTTCTAGAATAGGTTGTATACTGTCTGAATGTATCCATTACAGTTACTCATTTAGTGCAAGTACACATTTACTACTAATAAATACACAATTTGATAGTGAGTGATATTTTGACATTAAAGTTTTCTTCAGTGCAATGATATTTGGCTCTCTTACCCAAACATAGTGTTCAGTATTTAGTATCATGGCTTTTTACTTAGTTTAAAACCTCTGAAAATATTTCAGTAGTGTTGTGTTAAATTGCAGTTTTCATATTGCAAAATAAAGTTGATTTCTGTCCAATGAACTGAAAGTTACCTGTTTTTAATATTATATCTGTTAAAAAGCTAAAACTGTTAGAGACTGGTGTTCAGCATCTTAATAAAAGGGAGAATGTAACCACAGTACTAATATGAGTGACAGTCTGGCATGTTACTCCCATTGGAAATAGCCTTTACATTTTTTTATCTTAAGTTTATGAGTATTGTACTAGTGCTTTAATTTTACATCTGAAAAGGAAGACCACCACGCTTCAGAAAACATTTGTAGTTTAAATTCAGTTGACAAACTTTCAGCAGCTGATACCTGCAAATAGCAGATTGTAAACCACAAAATCTGAAGTGTATTAAAAAGGCCTGTGTAAATCCTCTGCTGGCCACCGTGTCGTGGACTTCTTGCAAAAAAAAACACCAAACCAAACAACAAAAGGAATAGAAGATTTTACTGCCAAATTTGGGGTTCTCTTTGTCTTATCCAGTCTACTTACAGATGTAGATTAACTTTACAATCAAATATCTAAAATTCATTTCAGCAACTGCTTTAATTATTTTTCTTGTATTTTTGGTCAAAAGTCTATTGCTTAATTAGTTGGATGCTCTTTTCTGAATTCCTAACATTTGCAGTTAAATAGGAAACAGTAAATTGTTCATAAATTATATGTACTATAATTCTGTTTTTGCTTTTTTAGAATGTGACTAAATTATCTGTGAAGGATAGACTGGGTTTTGTGTCAAAGCCGGTTACCCCAACAACTGAAAAGGTAAGAGAATGTCTGATATTCTCTTCCTCTCACATTTAATTTCAGTAGAGTTAATTATATTATAAAACCCTGGTATCAATATTAATTTTGTTTCATTAACTATGAATAAAGTTATTTATTAAATATTAGTCTTATAAAATATTATCTCTCAAACCTCAGCTTAGCAAATGGCTAAATGAGTATAAGAATTAAAAAGCCATGTTAGGACAGAAGCTGCTATTCGGTGGGTTTTGCTTTACTATAGTAGGTTTCATTCAGTCGTGAAAATAACCAGGTATGTTCCAGGGTCCTTAGCTGTTAGGAGAATACGGAAATAAATTTTAAAAATAAATAAATTTTGATGCTACATATGAATCTGTAGAAAAACTTCCTGCAAAAATGTTTTGGGGCTTTTGTGCCCCTTAAAAGATGATGCTGTAAACATTTACCCTTACTTGGTCTTGAAATTTGCAGTAGTTGTGGAAAGATAAAAGTGGAAGTTAATCAGTACAGGCAGGACAAAAGAGACGTAAGGTGGTAAAGGTGGTTGTGGATTATGTGTTTTCCCTGGTGGTTGCAATTTTCAAAACAGAGTTGTTGGTGTGTTTACTTTATCAGCAAAGTTTGTGATATATGTTTAAACATCTGTTTAGCACTATGGGAGTCAGGCTTCCCCAGTGTTTATAATATTCATTTGTGAATACTTTGGTAGAAAGGCAGCAAGTTTTACCCAGTAACAAGATTCCTTTGCCTTGCTGTATATATCCTATTGGGAATTGGCTTGATCTGAAATGAATGAAGCATCCACTGCATGTCCCATGTCCCCCGTGCCCTCTTACAGTGTGGCATTTATAATGCATTTAGTGTAATCTAACAAAATTAGCTCCAAAGATGCAGTGCTGTACTTAGCATACAATAGTAATAATAGTTAGTGTTGAGTTGTAATATTGGAGGATGTCTCTGACTCATTTCAGGCTGAGCAGTCCACCAAAATGCATTCATCTTGGCTTCTTACGTATATTTTGTTCTCGATCAGTTGCATACTTGTTGCTCTAAGTTAGTTACAGATAAATTACTTCTGAATTTCTGAATAATATACTCTAGACAGCTTGAATAATATTCAGTAATTTTAATAGCAATGAATAATATTAAATAATATTTCTGAATAATATAGACAGGTTGTAATTTTCTGAATAATAGTTTTGATTAAGTTCTGAATTTCTCAACTACATTTTGCATATTAACTATATACTTACTTTAGAAATAAAGAAGTCTAATTCAGTTTGAGTGGAAATTTTTATTTCTTATTCCACAACAGTTGAGTTACCCTAAACCACTTTTTTCCCACAAATAGTAAATCCATGCTAAAATGGTTTTCTGCTCTGTTGTCTTGGTGGTTGTCTATGCTCTGTTGTCTCCAGTGGTCACAACCACTGGACTGGCTGTGAAGCAGCAGTTTACTTTGGCATTTTTAGTAGGGTTCTGAAACTTGGTTTGACCTGTTTTATGAACTTATGAAGTTTTACATTATTTCTTCTCTTGAATAGTAGTAAGAGATGTAGAAGATGTTAATGTGTTGCTTCCTGCTCATGTAGATTAGTTGATGCAGGTAATCTGCTGTGGCATATTTCCTTAATTATAGGAGATAAGGAAGCATGGTTCACTCTGCCATGAAGACAGTTCAGGAAAAGATATTTTTGTCTTTACCTGGTCTTCTGTTTGTTTGTGATGTAGCCTGTCCTAAAGCTTCTCTGTAATAGGAACTGTATGACTTGGATATGCATATGTTAATGTGCTTTCATAAGTTTAAAAGAAATTCCTTCATCTCCGTTCTAATGGCCTGCTTAAGAGCATTTTATATCACCTTTCATAATACCTTATAGCAAACTTTGATTTTTATTCTCTCTGCTCTTTGTACTCTGTGGGAAGAAATAGTATAAATAGCACAAGAAAGTGAAAGCCCTTTATACGAAGCATTCCTGTTGGAAATTCTTGTGATCTCTTGATCTTTTCTGTCCTTCTAATGTTTCTTGGCTGTCTCTTTTGTGCCTTTTTTTTTTTTTTTTTTTTTTAGTCTCCTGTTGGTGGGCATCGTGTCTTATTTTATGGAGTGCATGTTGACCAATAGACTCTGCATGTATCTTTTAATTTTCCACACATATATAAAGTATCTTTAAACTCCTGGAAATTTTGCCAATTGCATAATTGCTGTGATTTGCTAGCAAGCTGGACAAGATCATGCCTACATTATTTCCAGCACTTAGCCATGGATTTCTCAATACTGTTACGGCCTTAATGTCCTTAAAGAACATCCTAAGAAAACAGAATAGTCCAGATCTTCAGGTATTGTGAGGTGTACATAGTATACTCTAGACAGCTTGTAAAGCAGACAACTGTGTTCTCACTAAGTCAGGGAGAAATTTCATACCTCATTACAAGTGTAGGAAGGAGAACAGAGACATAGTATTCTCTTCCTTTGCTATATGATGTTGAAGATTTCCTTGTACTTGAGTTACTTCTTGTTGATTGTGCAAGCTCTGCTTTGCATAAACTGAATATGAAAAGGAACTATTTTATCTACTTGTGAGGTTAGTCTTTAAAATTGTGTTGAATTTTTGCCCCAAAAAATGCATGCAGCCATGAAAAATTATATTTGAAACTAAAAAAAAAAAAAACAAACAACAAATACAAAAACAGACTCAGTTATATTCAGGAACATCTTAGTCTTCTGTTTCCTTAATTATGCTCAATGACTTAAAATTTTCAGTATTTGAAACTTGGAAGTACATAGGACATCTCAGTGGAAAGGATTTATAACTGGTGCTTATAATCCTTACATATCTGATGTGATGCTGCCTTTTTAAAAATTGTTTAGCTTCAGCAACTCCAAATATAGCTGTTACACTAAATTTTTTATATTCCATATCAAAACAGACAGAAGAAAAGATGCTTATGTATTTTTAAGCACTCGTGTTTTTTTTAAAAAGAAACTGAAATTCACTGGCAAAAGAATAAAATGATTTCCTCCTATAGGTTTTATCCACTTCTACTGGCTTGACAAAAACTGTGTACAACCCTGCTGCTTTGAAGGCAGCACAGAAATCTTTGCCTGTTGTTTCCACTTCCGTGCTAGACTCTAATGAAGCACAGAAGAAAAAACAGGTAAATTAAATATACTTCTTTATAAAATTGACTTAGATTGGGAACTCATGACCACTAGAGATAGTACACTATGTATATTCATCTCAAGAGCATAGATGAAACTAGTTACAAGATTACATTCACTATGATGGTTTCTTTTCAAAGGACAAGAAACTTCAGCATGGTTTTCCTAGGCTTTTTCAATGTATGTTCAGACAGTGCAAGCAGGTTTAAAACTCTCAAGTTCAAAATGTGAAATGCTTTTTCCTGCAAGCAGGATTTCTATGTTTAGGCATGAATTGTTTATTGAGTGAGAAGGGGAGTATAGTATAGTCACGATTCTTCTCTCTTAAACCCTTCTGGAGCAGGCCTTTAACATCAAACTGGCCTTTATTCTCAGTGTATTTTGTACCTGTGACCAAAATTTTCTTCATGAGAGAACTAAAAACTGTATAACCCCGCATTTTGTTATTTCCAAACTGTAAGTGTACTGCATCCTTTTTTACATTTTGCGTAGTACTAGGTTTTTTCTTAGAGGGGACATGCAACGAAAACGTATTTGGCCTTGAATAACTTGCTCACTTGTAATTTAGCTTGCTTAGAATTGTCAGAAAAGGCCAGTAAGCCTCCTTTTTTCAGATTTATTCTTCTAATTTAGAAAAACTAAATACAGGATGTTTATGTTGCTGGTTTCAAGCTACAAAGTAAGAGTTCAGTAGTAAGTTGGATTCAAACAGACATATTGAAATCAGTATAACTGTTAGACTATTAGTAAACTTATGTAACTAATGTCTAATATAATTTGAAATAGCAATTTATAACTGCATGTCCATTGCGGTATTAGTTCAGACTTTAAGGAAATTACTTCTAATTTGGGGATTTCATTTAATAATTGTCCCCTCAAACATGTTTTAGAAATAGAAGCTTTACCTTTCAAATTTAGATGCTAAATGCCTGTGAAATAGCAAAAACCTTGTAATAAAATTATTGACTCTTAACAGCTGTGGGGTTTTGGTGATTTGGTTTTTGGTTGGGGGGGTTTTGAGAGAAGACACTGGAGACATGCTAAGTGACTGGCTCTTTTTTCATATGCTTTTCTGCTCCTTCCTTTCTTCAGAGATTTCTGTTACAGTATACTAGTACTTGTGGAAAAACATGATTTTGTGGGACTCCCTCCCATCTTTCCTCGTGTCTCCCTAGTTTTTCTTAGCATTCATCCCCTTGTCTTATCTTCCTTTTCCCTTCAGCAAAAAGGTTGCACATGGGATTGCAAAACTAACATTTCATGCAGCAGAATTTGTCAATATTTGGGAAGACATGCAGAACCTTTACTATTTCCTTTTTATGGCTGTTGTGCATTTACGCTCTTTGTATAAAATAATCTACTTCCAGTTTGATCCCAGTTGATAAGTTAGAGGTGCAAAATCATCTTCTTCCTTTCCTCTTTTGTCCCATTAAATATGTTGATATCAAAGCTCTTGTTTTCTGCAAGTATCCTGCTAAGACCTGTACCTTCTATATCTGAGGGGGAGAAGCAGTTGCTTTCTCAGGCAGCATTAATGAGTGCAGCAGCTGTGGCATTTCCTCTTGCTTCTCCTTTCAAGTGAAATGTATTACAAATTTATCAGTTTAAATTAATTTTGATTTGCCCATTGCAATGTCAAGTTTCTGTTTTTAGCAGATTGGGTGATAGTATTTGTCACTTCCAAGTTACAGCAGTCAGATGCAAGAGATGGTTTTCATTAGGTAACGCATTAGTTTGAAAAAACAGGATGTATTTTCTTTTTGCTTGGAGCTGTACTGGAGAATGTGTTTTAATTGATGGACTTGATTTGCAGTTTCTTTCAATATACTGACATGACACATTTAAACTCTTGTATGTTGTACCTCATGCACTAGTGTATTATATTGCTTTTCAGCTTTCATTGGACTTCTGTGTTTGCTTTGTACGTAAGTAATAATGAAGTCTTCCCAGCACAGATCAGACTAAGAAAGATATTAGACCTTTTGTTCATTTGGTGATGCATTGTTTTCAAAACATATTGGAAATTACTGCTGTAGAGTTGTCAGGTATATTATTCTTCTGGTATTACTTTTCAAAATCCAGAAACTTTCTATAATTTTTTTTATGCTTCTAGGATGCATTACGACTTCAACAAGATGTGAGAAAAAAGAAGCAAGAAATTTTAGAGAAGCACATTGAAACACAGAAGGTAAAATGTTAGCCTTAGACAAAGTGAAAAATTCAATTGTAAAATCTCAGTTCACTAGGAAGTATTTCAGAATTTGTAAGCATGAGCTGTAAAACTGGCCTATAAAATAAGCACTCTCTTAGAACGGTATTACCACATGATTTTAAGTTTTAACATAATTTGTCTTGTTAGTTGAAATTGCCTAATTTGGGTGCAACATGCATACGTTCTGGGAGAAATGAAAGCCTGAGTGTTCAACTTGACAAGAGCAGATGTAGAGAAGTGTGCATGCCTGGACTTTACTTAGGAGCCGAAATCTAAAAATTGAATTTATGTAAGTCTGTTGAGGAAATCTGGCCAAGTAGATACCAGATGTTCATTAGCAAATAATCAGAGATATTGTTGTTGTTGTTGTTGTTATTATTATTATTATTATTATCAGTGTAAGCTGTTAAAAGCCCCTTTATATTGAGTTTGACGATCACAACAAAAGTAATGCAATAGTGAGTACTGGAAAACAGATCTGTAGTAGCAGTTGCTAAGTAAAAACCATTTTGTTCTATCTTTTAAAATTGAACAGATGCTGATTTCAAAGCTGGAGAAGAATAAAACCATGAAGTCAGAAGACAAAGCAGAAATCATGAAAACACTGGAAATTTTGACTAATAGCATTACCAAGTTAAAGGATGAATTAAAAGGTGTATCACAAGGAGGAGGGACTCCTTTAAAAAGCATGAAAACGAAGACTCAGGTACCCAAGTTTTGGTCAGGCTTTTAATAAGATAAGTTCACATGCTCATGTCAGCAGAATTAAAAACAGGCAGCCACCTAAGCAGTATTTAAAACCATACTGGTTTAATTTTGAAGTCATCTTTGAAGGGAGGTTGGTTTTACCTTGTTTTTAAACTAACGTAGTTAATTTCCAAACTATGCCATTGTCTAAAATGTTTACCCATTATTAATGCAGGTATTCCATCATCTGGAAAATCAAAACCCAAAACATAAATCTTACTTCTTTTTGCCTTACTGAATCTTTTGTGTTTCATCTGTTTCTTTTTACATTTTTTAATAGAATTCATGAAAGTAGAATTTCTTAGCAAAAGGGTTATCATTATGCAGCACAGATGCCTTCTGGTGAGGTTTAATACACAAACTGCTTCATGAAACTAGTTGACTACTGTACTGGTACATAATGTCATGGGGCTTTTCATGTCACTGGAATGTTTCAGGATAGTAAGGTTTTTAGGTCACACATTGCACTGCTCCGTGGGTTGTTACGTGTAAGAGGAGTTTCTTCCCTGTACTATCATTTGTGTTAGTATATGCCTCTAACCAGTTTCACAACTGCTTTAAGGTGCAATTGTATTACCTTTTTAAAATGCAGTATTTTGCTTTTTATAAAGCATTTGTTCCTAAGCAGGTCACAAGGTGATTAAGAATTAAGACTTAGAGAAACAATGTTTTAAGAAATCGATTAATATTCTGTAAATATCTCAAAAGCTTTTCTTGATTTATCAAGTGAGGAAATTCATGCTAATAAAAGAGCAGATTTTTGTATAGTGTATTTTTCAGTAAAGTCTTTTCTTGCTATTTTCAGTTCTTAAGGCTTCAGAATGCTCAGTCTTCTAATGTTTGTGATTCTGTTTTAAAAATCTGTTGCAACATTGCAACCCAGATTTAATTTAAATGGATTATTAAGTCTCAGTTTGAAGCAGCATTTCTTCTGCTTTATTTTACATAGAAATGTAGGTAGGCATAAAAGCACAGTGTAAATTAGCAGTGTGCAGTTTTTAAAAGAAATATGAAAAAGAGTACTGAAATGACATATATGTACTCACAGTAACTTTTTACAGCGTTGTCTAGTAAACATTGAAGCAGCATATTTTTATTCTGAAGATGGACATAGATTATTATTTCTGGAAGTCAGTTTATACCTCTTAAAACAATTTTGGTTTTGGTGGAATATTCTACTGTATTTTGGGGGGACGACTAAGAGTAATAATCCCAAAATTCGGGCCCTGCTATAGTAAGATTAAACTCTTCTTTTTTGGAGATGAGAGAGTAATTTTTATTTTGTTTTTGAGAGTAGACATTCTCTGGTGAGAGAACTTTTTTGAGAAGTGTGAAGGAAATCACCTGTCTGAATTTGAACTGTAAAAGTCTTAGAAATTGTCAGTATTTTTAAAGTTGCATTTTATTGTTAAAGCCTCATGGTTTTGAGGAATACTCTTCTACTGGAGGTGTACAATGCTTCATAAATTTGAACAGGAGAAAGTAGTTTATCAGTTTTGACACATGCAAGGAAATGAATCCAGATCCATAGAAATGAAGAAGGAAGTTGAAGACTAAATTAGAAAACTTCAATGCAGCATTTAACCCATAACAGTTATTTTATCCAGAGAGTGTTCCAGTAAATTTCTGAAATGGGCAAGGAAATGGTCTGATAACACTAAATTGCTAAAAGTGGTTGAGATTAGAAAGGGTCTCTGGGGATTCTTGTTCCGTCACCAGTTTCCACTGAAAAGAGCCTGGATTCATTCATACTGAGTCTTTATTCATCCATAAGGAGTATTTATACATGTAGGTAAGATCCCCCATGCCACCATGGCATTTTCCTTTGTTGCATGCAGGAGGTTCCTCCTGCCCCAGGTTGGGTCACCTTATCATAGAAGGAAGTCAGCTTGTTCAGGCAGGACCTGCCCTTCATGAACCCATGCTGACTTGGCCTGATCCCTCTGTGAGTTTTGGCTACTTGTGGGTCATTACTAAATTTCAGAAATCCTTGTTTTGCCATGTCATTGGTGTGTTGCAGCACAGTGAGATTTGAGAGAAACACCATTTCCAGTTGTGAGAGCTTTGAAAACTGTTATATAGGAGGTAATGGATTTTTTTTTTTTTCACGTGGTTGCTGCAGATAATCATAGAATGGGGCTAAAAGTGGTCAGGTTGAATAATTTGTCAGTTGAACAATCCAGCTTTTCTTTATTTTAAAGTTTTTGGGGGGGTGGGGGGAGGGGGTGGGTCAAGAAACCCACACAACAAAGGAACAAAAACCCCTTTATCATTCAGTGATGACACTTGGTTTCCAACTATCGCAATGTGAAACCTTCATCTCTTGAAAACCAGCCTTTGAATGCATTACAAGCTGTGATTTTGAATCAGTGGGTATAAATGTAAAACTGTTTCGCAGTAACCTATAATGTCCTTCATTTGCGATGTCACTGGAACATTTGGCTGCTGTAGAAAGTTTTCTATTTGGAACAGACCTTCAAATAAAATATTTGTGGTTACATAAAGCCCTTTGCTGCACCTGTACCAGAACCTGCACCTCAGTGGTTGCAATGAACATGTCTAAATTTGGGATCAGAGACACCTTTGAGTTTCTAAGATTTTTTTGGTATGTTCTTGAGCTTTCTAATAATTTTTTTTAAGGTACTTTGTGCTGTCTTGTTACTGGGGTGTTTTGGTTTGGTTTTTTTTTTTTTTTTTCTACTGTGGTCTGAACAGAACGACCATTTGTGCTTTTGCATTTGCAACTGTGATAAATGCTTATTCTCCAGTCTGATTATAGATTTCATATTCATAATTGTACTGCTTTTTCTTTTTTGTAGAATGTCTATCTCATCACTACCATGTAATTTTTCCTTTTTTCTATATCGTTTAGTTTAGAAAAAATTCCATTGGCTTTGGCTTTGTGTGGTAGTCTAAAAGGTTTGACATCACCAAGCTCAGAAACATACTACTACACATTGAAGTTTTATCTTGCCAAGAAGGCTCTTAAACTTGTGCTTTGTTTTTGAAGGTGGAAACCTAACATCGTAAGCAAAGGTAGAGCTGTGATGTGAACTGATAAGTCACAACTTGTTTAAAACCTAACGGAAGCAATAACATCTAGTTTTCAAATTCCCTTTCCTTACGGTGTCTAGGAATCTCTTTTCCAGATAGAGGTGCTGTGTCAAACTGGTACCTTACTTGGAGGCCAGCACTGGCCAACTTTTAAATTGCTGTGTATTTCTGAAATAACCTGCTCATAGGGGCATAGCAGTAGATTCTTGGGTCTTAATGGAATGTTATTTCTTCGGTAGAGAATGTGAACTGTGGAACTAATAATTTACTGTAACAATTTCTTAGATGCAGAAAGAGTTACTAGATACTGAACTGGATTTATACAAGAAGATGCAAGCTGGGGAGGAAGTTACTGAATTAAGGAGAAAATATACAGAGCTGCAGCTGGAAGTATGTTTGTCTCTTTTGTAACAATTGACTTTTAATATATTTTCATATATGTTTATTAACTCACCTATTGTATCATAAACTATTTTTTCGTGCAATATTGTATATAGATGGAGGCAGTTAGCAGTTATGTTTTAAAAAAATAGCTTCTAATTCCACTGAGGGTAGAGAAACAGTATTGGCTTCAAGCTTGATGGCTAATCTAGTTAAATTCTGTAACTATTACATGACATGATATTCCACAGATTTGTGGTAGCATTACTTCCTTGCAAGCTTGGAGTGTTTTTGAATTGTTTTCTGTAGGTGGTGTTGTGTTTGATATAGAGGAGTTAAAAAACACTGCTTGATCTTTTATTCTTAAATATTAGCATCCACTTAAGATTAACTGAAAAATTGAATTGCCAAAAGTAATAATATTGCAGCATTGGTTTCAGGAGAAGAAGGCTATACCAAAAGCAAAAACAACGTTTCAAGAAGTGTTCAATATTTAGAAACATACTTTTTTAAAAATTGCAATGGCTGTGCAAGATACTTCATGTGTGTCTTATTTTGAGAAATTCTGAATGCTGTAGGTGTTGCTCTTTGTTGCACTGTCTTGCCTATCTGTGTAGTATCTACTTAATTGCATGATAATCTTATCTCTTTTTTATTGTTAAGCAGGCTGCTGTATTGCTTAAATCTCTTTTGTCTGAAGTTTGATCATGTCTTATGTATAGCTATGTGTGAACACAGTGCATATACCTATGGCTAAGTTGCATTAAAATCTTACTTTAAAATGAAGTTGCAATGCAGCTTTGGTAATTCAAAATAGGGTTGTAAATAAGCCAAACCAGTGTGGTGGAGATGACAAAAAAGCTCATGTTAATAATATATATTCTGATGGTGAATAATATTTCAAAAGTGTCTTGAAAGCTTATTTCTAAAATGTACATTTTAGAAAATGCTAGTAAAAGGTATATTCTGAAACCTTTAGCAAATACTAATCAAAGTAGGTAGAGAAAACCAGGGTTAGAGAACAGCACAAGATGTATCCTTTCCATAATTTACAGGAGGGATATGGGGGTTTTCCCCTTGATATTTGTTTGATAATTCAGAATTCCTACAAATTCTTTAGAAAAATTTTATTCACACATTCTCTTTGTGACTTTAACTACCACAATAATCGTGTTGCTTCTGTGCCTTGTAGCCTGCTGTTCTGTTCCAGGTGACCCTGCTTTTGCTGTGAGAACACCCAAACAGTTTACAGCTTGATTGTTGAGTTAGCATAATATTTAACTATCTGGATTATTTGTTTAACCTTTAAAAATGTTAAAAAACACAAGAACCTGCACATTTTACTATGTGCACGCACACACACACACAGTGAATTACAGAACTACATGCTACTGTAAAATTATCTGAGTAATTTCAGGAATAAAGCCATAACAAATTTGAACTTCTTATGAGTAATATCACTGTCATGCATTAAAGTACTGTTATCAGTACTTGAGTTGTAAACACAGTAAGGTATGTTAAAAACATTGTTACAGTGATTTCATTTAACATTCCTGTAGCAGATCTGTTTTTGCTGAAAATATTTTTTTCTTGTTATAAGTGATGAAATTAAATCTTCGAAAGTGCTTTTTTTAAACCTACAATAACTTTTGCAAATTATTTTTCAAATGGCTGTCAGGTATTTTCATAGGCCTTTTGACTTTTCTTGGAGAGTGCATGCCAGTTCTTTAGAAGAGAGACACAGGTGGGAGTGGAAATTAGTAAGTATGTAGAGCCAAGTTTTTTGTCCTTGGAGGCACTTGTTAGAGCTCTGTTTCCTACCTCAGGGTTGTGTGGCCAAAAGCTATTACACTGCATTAAATTCTGGTCAGAATAAAAGTCCTGGCTGGATGTTCAAAGACAATTAAGAGTCGAAGTTAAAGAGACAAATTGAGGAGTTAGTCACTACATCAAAGAAATCTGCTAATGAAATTGCAAGTATTGTACACCACAGTTCCTTTTTTTTGTGAGGAGTTAGCTTCACAGATAAGGGCTCTTTTGATACCTGTTTTTAATACCTGGTTCTTTTTTCCTTTTTCCTTTCTGTTTTTGATCTGTTTAATTATTAACAGTCATGGCTTTTCAATGTTAATAACATGTTCACCTTTTGTTATTTTAAAACCTGTAAGCTGCTCTTTTTAGGTCTTGTTTGGAGATGTTTGTAGGAAACATAAGATTATGTGTTTGTAATTTTGTCTAAATATTTAGATTATGAATTTTAATACATCAATATGTTATGTATAAACATCTTAGGCTGCCAAGCGAGGGATTCTTTCTTCAGTTCGTGGTAGAGGGGTTCATGCAAGAGGCCGGGGTGCATCACGTAGCAGAGGTAGAGGAATACGAGGCCGGGGTAGAGGCAGAGGAGTTCCTGTGCATGCAGTTGTGGATCATCGACCTAGGGCATTAGAAATCTCTGCATTCACAGAAAGTGATAGAGAAGATCTTCTTCCCCATTTTGCGGTATGTGGCAACTTTTTCTGTTCTTCGGATGACATTCTTCTATTGAAGGATTTGTTTTCTCTTGGTTCAGTTAATCTGGGAATATTATTTAGGTATGAATCTTTAGCATGATATACCTGTTCATGGAAAAAAGATGCATCTGAAAAAGATGAAACAGAGAGAAATACACCATTGATTCAGCTAGCTGTAACTGCAACTGCATAGCATTTACGAGACTTGTTATTTTTCTTGAAAGGAAATTTGGAATACAGAGTAATGTCTTAAAATATTTATTTGTTCAGAATATATGTAAAATTGTCATAATTTTTTAGGTATATGAAATAGCAGGAGTAATGGTGAGAAAAAAGACTGATCCTGTGCCGAACTTTAAATTTCTGAAGCCTGTTTATCTTCACTGAAGTACCTTAACAAGTGTTTAATGAAAATTTTCACTGAAAATATTTGGTAAATTTTTATTTGCAAAAATAATAAAGTGAGAAATCAGCATACATTTCTAAACCCTCTCCATTAAAAAAGGCTATCATAAAAGGAAACTTGTTTATTTTGTGGAATAAATGCGAAGAATATCTAGTGAATTAAGTTGTGTGAATCTTCGTATGCCACTCTGCCACTCCCTCCCATTGGATTTTGGTTATGAGTACTGAAGGGGAGCTCAAGTACTTTCTGTAGAGATGTATGGAGGATTGAACTTCTGAGCAATGATTTCACAAACTTTTTTGTATAAAGCTAAGAACATACAACTTTAAAATGAAGCAGTAGAATCACATGATCAACCATAGGATGTTTCTGAGTCCAAATTCCATGAGTATAAGAAAAAACCTTATTTTTAATCTACAAAATTACTCTGTGATTTTAATATGCCTTACGATTATTGCTCAAGTAAATTCCGCTGGTCACTTTTCATTTTTTTTAATTCATTATGTACTTCTCTGCAAAGACTTTAAAGATGATGACAAAATCTGCCACTGTTTAAAAGGTTACTGAGTGGTGTCAGTTTATGGTCATAAACTTGCTTAGAACTTGGTATTTTCTTGTACTTTATTGTAGTATTAAACTTACTATTTTTAACAAACAAAAAATTCTATTCACAGTGTTAGTAGTATAACACTAAGAAAAAATGTAAATTATTTCATTTTGCAGGTTGTGCATTTGCTAGTTTAAAGTTACTCCAAATTGCATAGAAATAAGGAGCTGTATTTTCTGTTTCTATTATGGTAACTACAGCTCTGCATGTCAGCAGTGCGCTCTACCTCTAAAGATATATTTGGTGTTGCAGCTTACAGAGATGGCACATTAAAGGTAGCAATACTAGAGAGGCTATTACAGGAACAGATGGGTCAGGTTCTTAAGCTGCTGAAATCAATTTAAGTTTTGAAAGTTTTTCTACAGTCCTTGTGTCTAATAAATATTATTTGTGGAAGAGTTTCAGACCAGATTAATGGAATTCAAGATACCTTCTTTCTGATCAAGAGAGAAGTATTGAAGCAGAACCACCTCTTTTTCTGTCATAATTTTACTTCATACCTGTATGTTTACAATATGGAAGTCCAGAGACTACAGCAGTTTAAAGTTTTAGAAATGCGAGTAAAAGTAACGGTATTCTTCACAAACACAAGTACTCTAATTGGCATTAAAGCTATGAAAGGCACTTTTCTAAATTTATGTGATTTTTTTTTTTTTAAAGGCATTTGATTTAGGACAGCATTGTTAGAGGTGGAGTACTATTTCACTAAGCTTTTTTTTTTCACATTTCTTTATTAAAAGCAATATGGTGATATTGAAGATTGCCAGATAGATGACTCTTCTCTTCATGCAGTGATTACCTTTAAAACAAGAGCTGAAGCTGAAGCTGTGAGTAAAGTCATTGTTGAAAATACTCTGAAACTTTCTCCTACTTTCTAGTTATGTTATACTTCTGTATTTGATTAAATGTAATATTGCTAATCATTTTTACACATTTGAAAAGAAGGTTGACATGGCAGTTTAATTCTAGATTAAACAAATTGTCAGAACAGCATATTACTGAAATGCTTAGGAAATGAGGATGTTTGTAACATACTCAAGGACAGGATGTAAGAGAGACGAAGAGAAACACTTGAGAATTGATAGCAGGATGTCTTGGTTTAATTACCGGTTTTTTTCCACCTGGAGACTTGGTACCTTCACAGTCTCCCTGAAATTTCACTAGTATCTTGCAGAGTGAGCCTGTATATTCTGTTTCATTTTTTTGATCAGTTGAATTTACTTTTGCCTGAAAATGTTCCATCGCTGGCAGTGTTCAAGGCCAGGTTGGATAGAGCCTTCGGTGACGGGGTCTGGTGTGAGGCATCCCTGCGCATGGCATGGGGGTTGGAACTAGGTGATCATAAGGTCCTTTTCAACCCTACCTATTCAGTGAAAACTTGTGATAGTGTAAATATGATTTGATGTGATAGGATTTACTTTTTTCTTCTTTTCTTGAATGATCAATGTTTGAGGTGGCCACATTCTAGTTAGCATTAAAACTTCTGTCAAATGGCTTTGTGTCTAATTGCACCTTCGGTTTTAAATTTAAAATCGTGTGAAAACTGTTTGATCAAATACAGTAAAATCTGTGTTTTCCTTAAGATAGTTCTAAATACATAACTTCTACTGGAATTTCTGTGTTTACTACTAAAGCAGACTTTATGACTGGCAATCAGAGAAGTTGTAGAAGGTAAACATTAAAAACCTCTGTTGAGGCCAATTGTGAGGTAAATGCAGTAAATATTTTACCTTCTTAAATGAAAATAGGCCTATAGTTTATGAATATATATGTTCTAGCCTGAAAGGAAGAGGAGGATTCCCAATTGTAAAATGTTGCATTTTTATGTAGCAGTAATTTCTCCTAAAGATTACAAGTTGTTTCTGGACCCGAGTGTCACATATAAGTACTTTTAAAAATTCTAGTTGTGTGACACTGTGATGAGACCATGGATAAAAAGCTCCTGAGCTGCATTTTAATAAGCATAGAATCTTTTAAATTTATCATAAATTTATATGTACAGATTTAAAATTTATACCTGGGGACTTTAATATCACACAATTCATGTTCAGATGTCATTGAACATGTAATTGTTTCTACATTTCACATTATGCTGTGCTTTCAGATTGTACTATAAATCTTTTGTGACCATGACGGTTATTTCGAAATGTTGCTAACACTGATTTATGCTCATTCATGTTACTTTAATTTGAACATACTATTTCCAAAGCAGCCACTTAATGCATCTGGTACTTAGAAAGGCATGAGTATCCCATAAGTTAAAAATTTTTACATTTCAATTACAGTGGCTTTACAGGAAGTGCTACATTTTCCGGTAGATTAAATTGTAATCACAAAGGGACTTTTTTAGTTGTTTTGGTTTTCTTTCATGTTTTTTTAATATATTAAATCATTTGTTTGTGGGATGTCTTGTATCTTCCAGTAAATTACGCATTAACATTTTTGTGTCTGTCTTTGAAAGGTCTTGAACCATCAAGATAACACTAAAAACTAGAAGGTGCTAGTTCAGTATTTTGCCCACATCACCAAATGATTTATGGTTTTCCAAGCTAATTTTCTTCTAAATATATTTTGATCATTTTTCAGAAATGTGTGAATTCTGTGTGCAGTGAATGAAATTGTTTAGTTCTAACCTAATAACAGTAATTCAGTATGAACATACTACAACTTGAATTTTCTTCTGAAAAAGCTGGCTATCACTTTATTTCTGGCATTTAAGTATTACTGAAGTTACTTTTTCCCTTCACAAAGACTACATATATATATATGTAGAATATATAACTAAAATGTTTAAACTTGTTTTAGGCTGCAATTCATGGATCTCGTTTTAAAGGACAAGAGCTAAAGTTAGCATGGAACAAGCCTGTTGCTAGCTTGTCAGCTCTTGAAACAGAAGAAGCTGAACCTGATGAAGAAGAAGTAAGCTTGCTTTTTTCTTTCATTTACTTTAAGATGAAATAATGTAGCTTGTTGTTATAGTGTTTGTTGCTGCAAGGAGTCTGCTGTATTGAGAGGTCTCATTAACTAACCACTGAGATTTCTCCATTTTGCATAATGAAGGCAGGGCACATAGGGATATGTAAACACTTCAGCTGTGTAAAGGAAAAAAAGTACAGATTCTCTGGCAGGTGAACAGCAGAGACACTCATCTTTTAACCCCACCTGAATGCATTGAGTGTAGGAGGAAACCTCTGGGGTATTGGTAGTAGAGGAAAGGGAATGAAGATACTAACAACCAACATGCACTAGCTGTTCTGGCAGAGTTGAAAGGGCAGATTTATAAACAGTTGAAAAGACCTTAGGCCTTGTCAACTGAGAAGTGTTCATGATAGTGGGATACTTCCATTTTAGGTGATGGTTACCCTCCTTAGCAGGAGTCATCAGGTATGGAAAAAAAAATCAGGGGAAAGACTTCGTGGGACTGTTTTCTGTAATTCATAAATTGATGGACTTATCTAAAAGCTTCCAGGTTTTCAAAATTGAAGTACAAAGGGGGTAGTACTGTTATTTAAGAAATAATTTAATTATTGGAATATTTACTTTTATTGTTTGGCTGGTTTTTGGGGTTTTTTTCCTGAGCTTTTATTTTTCTAACACTTTTCTAGAGATCTGATTCTGTTCTTTAGCTGTTTTTATTTGTCTCTGGACTGTTTCTACAGTTATTCCTCGGCTAATTATGCTTGTGAAAAATGTATAGGAATTGATCTTGGGATACAAACCCAGCTGATCATTGCTTTTGTATTTTTTTGCTTGCTGAAATCTTTGCAATAGCAAATGTGCAGTAGAAAAATGTTAGTTTACCAATATATTTGTTAGTAGTGTTGTTCAATTCTTACTTGGCTCAGCATTCAAAGATTTTTGGGTTTTGTTTTTTTTTGGTGGGGTTTTTTGTTTGTTTTTGGTGTTTTTTTATTTAACGTGATTGGTGTATTTAACCCTGACCCTTTCCTGTTCTCAAAACAAGCCAAGTACATGTAGCTCTCCTGTTTTCTTCCTGTAGTGAGATTGGATTTTTATTTCAATTTTTTACAACTGAATTAGTCCTCCTAACTTTCACCATGTTTCTTTACATGAGGGATTTCTATTCAATAATCCTTGTGAAATTTTGCATTTAACTGCCATTCTTTCCTTCTGTGAGCTTTGTATTGCTTCTAGCATTTGTTTTAAGTTAGTATTTGAAGTATAATGCTGTGATCCCCCGGTCCCAGATGGATGAGTTCAGGAAGTTTTATGTTCATGCTCTGAAGCTCAGCCAATTATGTGAAAGAAATTTTACATAGTTTTATTTTTTAAAACATGGTACTTATGCAGGACTAGACTGGGCGGCAGGGTAGGTTCTTACGGTCAGTGGCCTGAATTTCTGTCATACATTGTTCATATGTATAAAATGTCTTGGGTTTCTGCATGCCTACAATTCAAGATGCTGCTTATTAACTTCATTTTGTAGTAGGCATTGTAAACAGTTGAAAAAGTTTTCCTTTGTTTTTCCGTGTCTAAACCCCCATTTTAGTTCAGCTGAGGAATACTATGTAAAAGTGGGGTAGCAGGCCTAAGACTTGAATGAAAAACCAAGTACCTTGATGTTTGGTGGGGGAAAGGAAAAAGGGAACTAGATCATTCAGTGGAGTGACATTATGAATAATAGGGCTTCTGGTCTGTTTATGAAAATATGAAGTAGGTCTTTTGGACTTGTATGCTCTAGAAATTCCCTGCGGAGTAGCCACTTAATTGTGAAAGAACCTGATCTTCCTAGATGCTGTATGTTACCTGATTGCCTAACAAAAGAGTTGACTACTGAGTCAACAACCAATGTCTAGGAACAGTATAAAACATTTAAGTAGAGAGGCTTTTAAGTATCAGTGGTTTGCAGCTCAGGGAACTTTTGAGTCTGAGGTGTAGTGTCTCTGTAGTTAAAAGCCCTTGGTAGGTGTTTATTTTACTATTTTGTCTGGTGTCTTGAAATCAGAATAGCATCTATAGTGTCCTGCAACAGGGACACTTCAATTCTACGATGTCTATCCAGAACAACTGTATTAGACTTAACACCTGCATGTTTAATTTGATGGTTTCCTGCTCTTGCATCAACAAGGCAATCATTCTCTCTTCTCTGTCCCAGACACTTATGTAGGGACTCCTGTTATACTTTCCCTTTATTACTTTCTCTCCAGGCCAGTTGTTCCATATGGAAGTTGTTCTAGGTTTTTTGATCATCCTTACTGCCACTCAGCCTTGTGCACCATAGAGTTCTGCATTGTGTGCTGCCCAGGATTCCTCCTTTTTGATAGCACTCTCGTATTTTGGCCTGCTGGATATTTAGACACCCCGGGAAGAGGCTAAGTCCTCGGGAAGCTGTGGTTTAGTCTGGCTTAGAGTACCCAAGCATACACTGACAGACAGGCCTGGTGTCAACAGAGCTGCTTTTTAAAATACACTTTCCATAGGCAAAAGTAATAAAAATGATGGTTTCTGCCTCTTACAAAAAAAAGCCTGCTGGAGTGAGAGAAGGCTTAGTTCTAGGGTTTCTTCAGCCTACAGGTTCACATTTCCAGAAGACTCCCTGTCTTCACAAATCAATCTCCATGCCTCTTGTTGGCTTTGGAAAATCTGTAGCTAAAAAAACTACTGTCAGTGGGACGAGAAGAATAAACAAGGAAGGCTATGAGTTACCAAACAGCTGGGATGGTTTTCTAAGGAAATACACCCTTGTGACTTAGTTGTTTCTTTACGTAGTGCAGAAATTGCTGTGATAGGTGCAGTTGTCAAAAAAGCTCTGAGGCAGGATAGTTTGTTAATACACACACATATCTATGCGTAAATAAAAATCAAAACAATTCACTGTTTCTGTCTGGAGTTTTTCAGCTTCACCTCTCTCAAGCCTGTAACTCTTTATCTGAAATGTTCAGAGTTTTGTGAAGTCTGTGAATTTACTATGTTGCTACTGAAAGGAATTGAAAATGCATTAATATAGTTTGACTAAATTCTGTAAATACATTAATATAGTTTGACTAAATTCTGTAAATACCTGTCTCCTGCCCCCATATTTTAAATCTTTATATTGATGTTAAGCTTGAGTAAGCTGCCAGAATCAAACTGTCTCAGATTCAGCCTTTTATTTTTCTGTGGCACAGGTAGATTGAGATCTTGGATTAAAAGAGGCATAGTTACTGTGAACATGCAAAAGCTAACATTACTTTTCAGTGTAGCATTTTAAGTTCCATAGGAACATTGCAGCTTGGGCATGAATGACATGCCAAAAAGAGCTGTTTAAGTAACGAGGTGCATATGTCATTTTGAAAACCATTGAAAAGATAAAAGGAGGTTGTGAATGCTTCATCCCTGGCAGTGTTCAAGGCCAGGTTGGACGAGGCCTTGGGTAATATGGTTTAGAGCGAGGTGTCTCTGCCCATGGCAGGGGGTTGGAACTTGATGATCTTAAGGTCCTTTCCAACCCTAACTATTCTGTGATTCTATAAAAGCATGTTTAATTTGCCATTTATTAATACATTTATATAATACATACACATACCATGTTTGGGTTTTTTTTTTTTAAAGCTTTACTATTAAAAATATATTTTTTCCGTTTTAAATTGTGAGTCACAGAGTTGTATTTTGCTTTTTGATCTTTAACATTTTCTGACATAACAGGGTATTGTTTTCTCTTGAAGTTTCAGGAAGAATCTTTGGTGGATGACTCGCTGCTTCAAGATGATGATGAAGAGGAGGAGGAAAATGAATCTCGTTCGTGGAGAAGATGATTTGACTAATCAATGACAATGCTAGAACTGCACCTGTGTTGCATTAGTATTATCTAATGTATTTCTGCATCTTTGTATTAAAAGGGGTTTTGTGATGAAGTTGGATTCAAATAATAGACTAAAATGCAGCTGGTCGGTTATACGTTTTGAAAGATTGATGTTTGAGTTACATTTCAGTAAATGATTGCTAAAGACATCATACTAGGAACATATGCAATGTTTTTATTACATAGTTCTACAGAAAGTTACAGAATTCTTTGGGTTCTTTGTAATTTACCGAATTGGTCAAACACAAATGACCAGAAGTTGTTATAACATAGATAATTTTTGTTCTATTCCAGATACGGAATGAAAATTTGCATTTAAAATCTTTGTGAATGTTTTCAGAAATGAATAGATAACAGTACTAAACTGAAGTCTCTAAAGTTACGTATTCATAATATTGCATAGTAGTATGCTTAGGCTTTACTATGTACTAGCCTTTTGTTGGATTTGTGTACGTATTTTACCTATGGGTTTTAATGATAAAGTGTATGACTGCTTTGCATATAAGTCCTTATGACTTTAAGATGTTAAAAAATAAAGAAATGGAATGGTCTTCAAAAAAAAAAAAAAGAAAAAAAAAGAAAAAAAAAGCAATAACCAAAAAAGCTGAGGCAATGGTCCTTCAAAGTGGAAAAAAAAAGAAAAAAAAAGAAAAAAAAAAGAAAAAAAGAAAAAAGACCATTCCAAATGGCAACCCCCACCCCCATACTCACAAAAGGAGCTCTAATCACTATCACTTACCTTAAAATAGTATTGAATATAAAAAAAACCCCAACGTAATGGTGTTTCATTTACATTAACACACAGTTGTACTCTGCATAAAAGCTTTTGGATGTCTTCTGAATTTTAAACTGTTTAAGTCAAACACTAAATAGAATAACATTCCAACAATAAGGAATTTATTCTGTATCCCTGCACTGTGCAACTGTAGAAGAAGATTTGAGCCCGCAGAAATATATGTGGTACTGAAATGTAGTTCAGAAACATTCATTAGGAGAAGTGGAATGCTTGGTAGGTATTCTAAAAAAAAATGACTACACAAATTAATTCACCTTTGTTATTCCTGCATTGCTGTGATTACATTTATTTCTGTATTGGAAGTAACACCCAGCAGACACCGAGTTCATACTACAGCATATATTCACCATTTAAAAATGCACACACAAGAAATGTTAGTATACTCCACAAATACTTCACTGGGCCTTTCTAATAGGATGTTCTGTGAGGTCTGAACATTCTTCCCTTAAAAAAGGGAACTGGCCAGTCTTCAGTGGTAAAGGCTCTCCCTTACCAGAAAGACAATTTTATTCCCATTCAGCATCATTTTGCTGTTTTGTTTTCAAAAGACAATCCATTTCTTAAGTATTAAAGTGGTGGGGTTTATTTTTGTTCTGGGTTTTGGGGGTAGGAGGAAGGTTCTTTTGTCCATTAACTCATTAATGAGAAAAGTATAAACCCACTATCTAATTTATCAAATAGATTCAGGGGATAGTATTTAAGAGTATATTTTTGTTTTTATTTTTGGATTATTTCGAAATAGGAATGGAGGAAAATAGAAGCAGTGTCCTGGAGAGAATTGCCCTCGCTGTAAAATTTTTGTTCTGTGCTATTCAGTTATTTGTGGAGGTTTTGAAACCTGAATCCTGGTTTGATGCTTTCTGGTGTGTGTGAAAGGGGAGTGTGTTGCTTGTTTGGAGGTTTTTTTGTGTGTTTTTCTTTGTTTTGTTTGGGGGGTTTTGTTGTTTTTATTTGATTTTAGGTTTTTTTTTTTGTTTGGGTGTCTTTTCCCTAAGTCCCTGTGTATGTGCATATCTTGTTGAAAAAATACGTATTTACATTTTTGTATAGTCTTAGTTTCACATTGAAATTTCACAATTGACTGCCATGCTTTTTTACAATACATTCTAAATCCTGCCATAAGGAATTGTATTTGGGAAATTGATTCCCTTTATCACCAAATTTCAGGTAAAATAACAAATATTTTAAGAACCTTTTTATCTAGTGCTCTGAATGAGCTGTTCTAGTTCAGTGAATTAGATACAAGCTTTCTTACTTTACTTTCTTAATAATTCAGTGCATCTGAAGGGTGCCAGATTAACAGCTGGGGAGGTGGAAGGTTTCTTGTGTGTCTTAAAGAACAGGTACAGCACAGAAAAGGACTGTGCATGCTGCCTTGGTTGTGGCATGCTTTGTCTGGTGCTCAAACTTGCTTTTTTGCTGCAGTCAATCAGCACAAGCTAATGGCAACTATTAGTGTGTCCTTTACAGGGATGTTTCTTACGAATCATCTGAAATTGATGTATCACATAATTTTAAAATTGGTATTCCAAGTTCGCCTTTTTGTTTTGAATTAAGCCTGGTAATGCTTCCATGCAATATTCATTTATTAATAACTGTTTGCATCCTGGTCTACCTATAGGGGGGTAAAACCTTTTAAAATCCTTTTAACTACCTTCCTCCCTTAAACTTCTGTCAATGAAAGGTGTCGGGGAATTTTTACTGGTGTGTTTTGTCCCCTGCTGTTACCTTGTGACACTGAATGATGGAAACCCACCTGGATCAGAATGGGTTGGTTTACTCTTGCTTTAAAAGCAACCCCAAATACTTCAGTTGAAACCAGTCTGTGATTGCCATTCAGCATCAGAAAATGGAGTCACAGTTGCAGTCTAAGTGGATTCCGTACATATTTCTGTCATCAAATTACTTTCTTGATTTGATTCCTTTTCGGCTTGCTCTGTCCCTGTATTACTTCTCTAGGTCTTTGCTCCCTTTTCTGATACTGCCTTTGCCAGCCTCTTGTCATTTCAGTTCAGTCAGATCCTTACTAGCATAGTCTTTGGTGAAATCTGTTGTCTCCTGGAGCAGCATCCTTCCTTGTTTGGAACAACAAACCAGACATCCTGCTAACTTCATTCCATTCTTTACTTAGTTGATTCTTCTGAATGTCTTCCCAAGTGTGCCTCCACAGTGATGACCGGAATTGTATTCTTTTTAAGAGTTCTGCAAATGGATTTTCCTAGTCTGAAACACCATCAGTGGGGTTACCTTGGTTTTCCCCAGACAGCTTTCGAAAATTTCTAGGAGTAAAAAGAAAAAAAAGGTAAACCTGTAGAAGGTATTTTCTTTTCCAGCTAGATGCTAAAGGCCTTGAATAATGTGAACTGACATCTAATTCAATGATAGTTTTATACTATACCATATCTGGTTAAACTACAAAAACTTTTAAGCAATGGAAGTCGGTAATTTAAACTGTATTACAATCTGTTTACAAAACAGTAAAGTAAGAATACCTTTTTGAAGCATTACTTACGGCTAGTATTACTTGTATTCATTATTTTCCTAAAGGCAAGGTTGGATGGGCTTTTGAACAACCGGGTCCAATGGAAGGTGTCCCTGCCCATGGCAGGGGAGTTGGATCTAATTTAAGGTCTCTTCCAATCCAAACTGTTCTGTGACTAAAACTCGTTTATTTCAAATCAGAAAACCCATATGAGAAACAGTATTTACTAGTTAAATGCAAAGGTAGAAGGTGTACTTTGCAACCAAGTCTAAGCAGGTCCATTTTTTAAACAGAAAAAACACCTGTTGAAAAAGTCATACAACTTACAGGCACCCAAAATAGGTTTCTGTTCTAAATCACACTCTGAACAAAATCTCTGTTCATTAACTCAATTCATAACAAAATCTCTATTCCTTAACAAAATATTGTAATTAAAAATAATTATTCATAATTATTCATCTCTATTCAATAAAAGAAGTAAAAAAAATAATTATGCAGGTAATTTCAGTATCTGAGAGCAGCTTAGTGGGATTGTTACCCAATTTAGAAGACCTGATTTTGTTGTTGGCCATCTGAAGAGGTCCCCAAACTGTCTTAAGCTTAGTGTTCTTGTCAGCCCTTGGGTAATTTTCAATAACAGTACATTTATTTTGGGGGGTTATAGTTGGAGTGGTTAATTTGTTGTCAGTTACAGCATGAGCATAAAAGAGCACAAAAAGATGCACAAGAATATGGTTTTGATTCCAGTTATTTGAGATGTTCCCTGTATTTTTTTAATTGATCTGTGAACTAGTAGTTTTCAGCAAAAATAGATGGGGAGGGACGAGGGATTTCTTTTTTTCCCTTCTACTAGTCGTATGCTAGTGTTGTATGAATACACAAAGTAACATAAAGGGGTTGAACTCCACAGAAGCACCTCATTTACTGTAATTCAACATTGGGATGTTTATGTTGCAACTAAAGAAGATAAAGTCAGATGTAATCCAATATTGCTTACCTTTTATTACAAAATAGCAAGTTACAATTATCAACTTATTACCATTAACAAATTAAGATTAGAACAATTGGAACAAATAGAGGAAATTTGAAGTTTGTGGAAAACCAAGGTAATCAAGTATGAAAAGCTTTTGTTCATCATGGAATTCTGAGTGTGCTGCTTATTATTGTATTGACATTAATAGCACTTGATTGCTGTCATCTGAACCTCAACTCAGACCAAGTAAAAGTTATTTTTGAAGATATAAAAAATAAAAAATCAATTGAGCTGATAACAGCTGTAAACTGATCCTTGGTGAAAATGAACGCTCAGTTTTTGTGGACTCGTGAACTTTTATAAACACACTAGTGTGCTTGTCACACAGTTATCTAAATACTGTAGGTTTATAAAAGAATTACTTTCATTTTTGTTTTAACAGCCTTTACGTGTTTTATTCTGAACCATGTTCTAAATTTGTAGACATCAAAAATACTTGCAACAAAAATACTTGCAACAAAAATAGACTGGTGGTTTTGGCCTTTTATTTAAATTCTCTTTAGATCTAATTGGAACACTAATGAGTGGGATTCCAAGAACATACTCCACTAGAAATTTATCTTTTTTTAATCCCTAATGTATCATTATTTGTAAAATCCTTCTATATGTGTTAATGCTAAAGCTTATCTGAATGATGATACTTCACCATGTGAGTGAAGTTGAATTTAATTTCTTTCTTCTTCTTCTTGCAGTAAGTTCGTAATCCTGAGACCAGCTGATGCCTTTGAAAATCATCTCATCTGACTCCCTGGTATTTTATGATAATTTTGATGCTACAGTTTGGGTTCTTGAATTCCAAGATCCTTCCTGCTTTGTTAGCACAACTGACTAAATCAGTTTTTCACCTTTCTCTGACAGAGACTGGAACAGCACATTCAGCAAATCTGTACTAGTTGGTGAACTGTGTTTCAGTGTTTCTTTGTCAGCAACTGGGAGAAAAAAATTTGAGGCATGTACTCTTCAAAGTTTGTTTTTTTCTGAGAAACATCTGCAGTAGACTTTTTTTGACCTTTTGGATGAAGAGAGGATAAAACTCTATTTTTACTCTTTTATCCGTTTTACTCTTTTGTATCGCAGTTTCACATAAATATGTTTAATAGCAATTTGACGGGTAAATTTTTTCTTTAAAAGTTCAGATCTTTTTAAGTTGTCCGGCATATACTTTAAAAAGGAAAGGGGAATAGGGAAGCGAACTGTTTCCAGTTCATTCTGGCAAGTTATAGAGATTATTTCAAATCAGAAATGTTATTTACAGGCCTCAGAACTCAAATGGGGCAGATGACCATTTCCTAGTTGCTAAAGAATGACTTCTGTCTGCTTCTTAGGCTTACTGTTCTTTTAAATATAAAGAGAGAAACAGTAACTTCTCCAAATGTTTTCCTAATGATCTTCAGCTAGACAGAGTATTTCCCAGCTCTAAGGCACACTAACTCTTCTCTCTGTACAATAATCTGCTCTCTAGGGAAATGAAAAAAGTTTCATAGGTTTTAAAGATAGTAATTTAGTTTTCATCTTGTACAGAATTTTGTGCAATAAAGATGTTTGAGCCAACATGTTTCCTCCTTTCAGAGAAAACTGATTTCACAGGAACATATGTTGGTCTATTCATGTAAAAATCTA